TGAGCATTTCTGGGTTTCCAGGATGCTTTGTCATCACCATCCACTGGTCCTGCTCCTCCCTGAGCCACTGTCTGTCCCCTTGTCACAGTTGTTTGTTTTTTTAAGAGGCATGTTTTATTTATTTATTTATTTATTTATTTGTTTGTTTGTTTTGTTTATACATGCACTGGGTACAGTCAGAAGCGCGGGAGGGTGAGAGAATTCACCAGAGCCAGAGCGGGAGCAGAGCAGGCAGAGGGACCGAGGTACACTGCTGAGGGGAGCAGCGGGAGGCAGGAGAGGTCTGCGTGCCATGTGGGACCCTCCTCCAGTGGCCGGGGGGCAGCCGGGGATTGAACCGGCGCCGCAGAGGCTGCAGGCAGCTTCGCAACCCAGAGCTCAACCGCTGCGCCACCAGGGAGGCCCCCTTGTCACAGTTTTAATCAAACTTCTCTTCATGGTGCTGGACTCTTCTTGGCAGGTCACTAGAGGAGCAATTAATCCTGAGAAAGGAGGAGACAGTTCCCAGCTGCTCCCTGCACATGACATGTTGAATGAACATCGTCCCTGGAGCATCCTCAGTGCTGTTTCCAAAATGATTTTTAAAACTGAGATGAGGCTGCAGATGTTATAATTGCCTGTATTCTGATAGAGTAGTGTAGACCTGTACTTGTATAAGAAATTGCTCAAAATTAAACATTCTGAATAAAGTACTTTTTATTTGTTGCTAATTTAGTAAGTTTCACCCTAATTGCTCTTACACAATTGGTCCTCAAACACACTTTTCTTCAAGGAAATAGGTGAGTGATCTGACTTTTCTCACCTCCTCACAGGCAACTCAAGGTGTACTTTGTCCAGATTCATGAATGTTCCAGGTGTCACTCTTCTTAGACAAGGGACTCTAACTTGGTCCCTGCCTCCAAAAGAACCTGATCTGTTTAGGGAAAGCTGACAGACTCCATGTTGTTGGTCCCTAAAATGATTCTAAGGAAACAGCTAAGGGGGCTGATGAGAGAAGCTGAGCTCCACATGTGGGCAGCATCATGGATTCAGCTCAGGGCTTTGTGACTCTAATGTAGCTAGTGTTTTCCAAATTTTGATTTAAGGAAGTACATGGGGAGCATTTGAAATAAAATGATCGTACTTGTAGTTGGTGCATTTTGGAAAAGTTTTCCATTATTTCATGGACATTCTTGGTAGTACTTATCTTATTTCCAAAAGTAGTTATTTTACAAAGACCATGAAACCTTGATGAAATCTTCTGAAGTTAGAATGCTGTAAATGTTCACTCTATTGATCTGCAGATGACTTATTTTGAAATGTTGCTGTAGTGATAATGAACCAGAAGAGTTTCCAGACAGAAGAATTTCATTGTTTGACTTGCCTGCTTCCCTCCCTCTAGGTCTACCTCCCCTCTACCTGCCTTGATGCAACTGAAGTAAATAGGTGAGGATGATTGGAACTGGGAAGAAATACAGCTACTTCAAAAGGGGTTGTAATGATGAAGTTCAATTGTCATGGGCTTAAATAAATGGTCAGAGCATGGAGTAGAAAATAGCTGTTAAAGGAAAAGGGTGGAAACCATCAGGATTTATGAACACCAGGAGGTGTAATTTCATAGAGAAAGGGGAAATTGAGGATGTTGGAGAATAAAAAGAGAAGATAAATGGTGTTGTAAGGAGTTGACTTTTGACATTGGTATTTCATAAACCTGTTGGCAAAATTAGAAAAGCTGCAACCATTTCCCTCCTGCCCGATCCACCCCATTCACTTTGAAACTCCTTTGTGGGTTTTAGCAAAGGAGGCCAGGCACTCTTTTGGAATATTCAGTTAAATGTTTCTCTGTAGGTATTAAAGAGTAAATACTTAGCTCAGGGCCAGATTTCAGGTTTTTATACTGTTCCAGAAAGTGTGACATTGCTTGCACATAAAGGAGGCAAGAATGTAGGATGAGAGGACTCCCTGGTGGCACGAGGGGTTAAGATGCAACACTATGAAGCCATTCGCAGCCAATGCAGCACGAGTTTGATCCCTGGCCAGGGAGGCAACCCACATGGCGCAGCAGACCTCTCCTGACTTGCTCGCTGCTCCCTTCATCAGTGTATTTCAGTAGATCTGCCTTTTCTGCTCCCAGCTCTGTTCCTGGTGAATCCTCTCACCCTCCACACCTCTGGCCTGTACCCTAGTTCTTGTATGCATAAATAAATAAATCTTTAAAAAAAATGTAGGATGAGGGAAGTTATACATGGATAGTTCAATGGAATTTGCACTTGGGGGGTAGAGTGTGATTGAAGACAGAGTTATTCAAAGTCAGTGGGGTCAATATATCTGGATTCTTAACAACACTTGACCTTGAAGCTCAGGGTGTATGTTATGAAGATTTTCCTTTCATTACAGGCCCAAGTAAAAACACTGCAGTAATGAAGAAGACAGAATTTTCATTTATTAGGGAAACAATATAACAGAGGAGTCTTTGAAGATTTATTTGATCCAAAAATGGTGCTACATGGTGCTAAACTCAACATCATCATACCCAGGGTCTTCTTGTCTCAGGACCAATGGGAGTCCTCTCTCCCCCATGCCAGAGATGACAGCACCTCCAGGAGACTGCAGAGAGAGACCTGCAAGGTGATGGAAAATCTGGTTTCAGTGGTGACAATAAAAAATTCTTTGGTAGAAAGAGATTAGTGCACAAAGACTACAGAGTATCTGTGAGACCCAGCAGCTCCTGAAAGGCTAACGCTGCTTCTTCCACTCAGCTACTCTGTGCAAAGTCATGTCTTGCTCTTGACAGCTGAAAGGCATTGGGGCAATAATGGTGAGGACTGGAGAAGAGGGTGAACACTCACACGCATGTGGTCTGATTTCATTAGGAATGGGGACAGGAGGTGATTCCCCTAGATTCCTCTGTCTTGGGGATTGAGGAATACCACCTCAATACCAGCCCAAGTTAGACCCAGAAATCTTCAGGAGAACAATCTGGGTTCTCTGTCAGAGGACAAAAGGAACAACTCAACCACATCCCATGGCCTCCTGCTCCCCAGGCCTCACATGCTCACACATAAGCAGAGGCCTAGTCCTAGGAAGGTGGTTTTTCATCTACAACTGAAACAATTCAAGAAAATTATCTCTTAGTATCATTCTACAGATGAGATTTTATTATTCTAATTAGGGCTTTTGAACATCTGCATTAATAACAGTCAACCCCAAATTTAAACATCTGGATATATGGTTCCCACAAACAATTTTTTCTAGCTTTCAAATTTAATTTACACTGCTATTGAAACTTTCCAGATTACTTCTCACAATCTGAAAAAGCTCCCAAATTTATTGTCAGATCGTAATTCTCAATTGGAGGTGTGAAGAAATTAGAATAAAGCCTTTGTCACTTATACAGGAGTGTCTGTATCATAATGATAGAAGAAATGGACATGAGAACACAATATGTGTCTCCTCTCAGAAGAGATGAAATAGACAACATCCAAGAGACACCTCCTCCAGGTCTAGAGGGCCCCAGATGTTAATAGTAAAGATAAACTGACTATTGACAAATCCAAATTCATCCTCCCCCTGACAAGGAAATGAGGCCACTGGTGACAGAGTGACACTCATCTGGCTGGGAATACCCTGCACCAGCTTCCTCCTCTGGGGAAAAAAAATAATCCCTACTCATTACTGGAGAAGAAGGAATTCCAGGAACAGGGAACTCTTCAGCATCATTATAACCATCCCAGTGGCTCTGACATGCTGTCCTGGAGGCTCTAGAAATGGACAAGGACTGAGGCTGGACTCGGGGATGATCAGTCCTTTCTACTGCAGAGATTAGGACAGCTGATATGTATAGCTCTAGATTGCAGGGCTGTCTCTGACATATATTTCATCTCAATATTTTCAGAAATTATTTGACTCTTCTACATATTCTAGTATACTTTCCTACCATGGCTTCTCGTGCCATGAAGCCAACAAAAACTATTGTAATATGAAAACTGGTACTACATTCAAGCACATGCTACAGACTTGAAACATATACTATGTACAAATCAATGTTTTAGAGTGAATTGGGACAAGAGAACCCACCTGTCCACATGCCTCTGAGTCTCTGGGAAACACAGAGCAAACAGGAGAAGGAAGCTTGGTACCTCTCACTCCTAGACAGGCAATCCCTTATCCTGCACCAAAGGGGCCTGGGTTTCACTCCACTGATATAAGGATGTTTTGATATGAGGTTTCAATTTCCAGGATCCCCCTGACATGTCACATGTCTCATCCCAAGAGCTAGCCTTAATCACTATCTGGGAAAGATCCAAGAGGAACATTCTCCTCTCTTAGGTCCCTTGTCAATAAGAGTTTCTGGTAGCTGGTAAATAAAAGCACCAGCAGTCCATGTTTTCTTTTATTTATTTACTTATGCATGCAAGAACTGGGGTACAGGCCAGAGGTGCAGGGAGTGAGAGGATTTACCAGAAAAAGAGTAGGAAGCAGCACAGGAGGATCTACTGAAATACACTGCTGAAGAGAGCAGTGGGAGAGACAGGAGAGGTCTGCTGTGTAAGCTCCCTGGTGGGGGATTGAACTCGTGCTACATTGGCTGCAGATAGCTTCATAATGCTGGGACATAACCCTTTGTACCACCAGGTACATGTTTTCTAGTGCTTAGCAAAATCAATTTTGGGGTCTCAGTATGTACATGACCCACCAATATCATACCATGTCATGTGCAAACCACACTTACCAAAGCTCACCATGGAAATTCTCAGAATGTCAGTTTCAGATATTACTGAAAAAATGGCCTTTCAGTCTATAAGAATTAGATGTATGTCTGCAACTGATTAGAAGTAGCTGTGGATACAGAGAACTGGGCTTGATATTTTCCTTTCTGAGGTGACAGAGTGGGGAAAGAGAACAAAATATTTTGTGAAGAAGACAGGAGAGAATCCTTCCATCCTCATCACAGAAGTTCTCTTCAGAAGAGATTCCTCCTTCTCATCCCCACAAACCAAGGGAAAATCAGTGTCTCCTACCTGGGGCAGATCCAGGGTCTCCCTTCTTCTCATTGTCCCCTGTGTAATACGGCAGCATAGTCGCTGAGTCATTAGTCAGGTATCCTGGTGGGGGGAAAACATCACAGACAGAAAATGTTTGCCATAATAGGGGCCTCAGTGTCAAGGTTCAGAAGAAATCTTGAAGCTTCAGAATTGAAGGGAGTGGTCTGATGTGCCTGCCTTGGGAGGAGGCTGAGAGGTTGAGTCTATAAATGTGAAGGGAACCCATGGACAGCTGAGGAACAGCAGGGAGGGCTTGGGGCACACCTGGACTGTCCAAAATGTCCTCCTTTTCTGGTAGAGCATAGTTATCAATCTCCTGGTACAAGGCTTCATCCATGACATCTTCGAAAGCAGGTGAGGCTGCAGAAAATGGCACGAGTTCAGAAAAAAGTCCTGGAGACAGTCCCTATACAAACAGGTAAGGCACACGGTGCTCTGTAGGGGCACCAAATCAGGGGGTTCCCTCTGGTAGCCAGAGCCCCTTCCTGAGCTCTGTGGGACAGAGACAGCTTTCCTGACACTGATGGTGACAGTTACTCAATTCCCACTGACACTGTTTCCATAGTAAGTCATAATTTTTGAGAGGTTTTACATTCAACCAAGGATTCAGCTGTCTCAAATCTTGAAGGCTACTGTAGAGAAGGTGCTTTTTGCCAGACTGTGAGGGTGGAGACAATGTGGGGCACTTTTCTTGGTATCATAATTGGCTCAACACCTTCCCACAATAACCCTTTAGCATCCCCATGGCCCACCTTTGTGTTCTGCTCTCCCTCTGTGCACCTGAATCCCCAGGATGACCAGGACCAGAAGGAAAAGGGTCCCCAAGATGATGCAAAAGACCCCAGTCAAGGAGTTAATGCCACGGGCAGAAGCTGAGTCATATCTGCTGGCTGAGGATAGAAGAGGGTTGTGAGGTTGAGAGAGGGTTGTAGGTCCAGGAGAGCCCTTCCCCACCTGCCCTTCTCTTCCTCATCCACTGAGTCCTCAAGACCATGAAGTTAGCACTCAGATCCAATGCCTGGGTCTGAACCCAAGATGTGTCCATACAGATCCTGCCCTGAAATGTGCCAGCTATCTTCTGTATCATTTCTAAAGGATTGCTAGAAAGTGAAATGGATGAAGTTTAGGAGCATTACAGCTGCCAGAGTTATTAGGACTGTAATGCCTTGTCAGTGCATGGCTACTTAACCTCCGAAACTGAGTTATACAAGTGTTTTGAAGGAAATTAGAATGTATTTTCCAGTAGCAATGACAGAGAATCTGTGACCCAAAGTATTTCATCCATAGCTTTTTGGTTTTACTAGCAAAAGAACTATGAATATTTATGCTTAAGTTTAGAAAGGAGACATGAAATTTGGCACAAATCCATACAATTCTCTGATTTCTTCAGTGGTACCATCCTGTGTCTCTGCTCTTACTAACTCAGTGCAATACCGCACTCACACTATCCAGAAACTATTAATCAGGGAAAGAGCATCCCACTAATAGCCTCACTGAACAAGAGGAGATAGTGTGGAGATTTGTGTAAGTTTATCTTACAAAAAGGAAATTATGAAAGAATCATAAAAATTGATTTTAATCATGATGATAATAGATAAAATTGTTTTGTCAGGTAAGACCAAAGAAGAAGGAAGGATGAGCGATTTCTTTAGGAGTGAAGGACGCTCCTCTTTCGCAGAAGCTTTGTGCCCTCGGGTTTATGGAGGGCACAGACCTCTCTGGCCATCTATCTCTGCTGTCCCAAAAACACCAGCCTCCTAGGAACTTTCTATTTCCTCAGCCCCTGAAAATGCACTAACCATACCTGAGCAGATGACTCCTGCATCCTCGAAATGAAAGCAGTTGCTGATCCCCCAGCTCTGGGACCGGCACTTCCACACATGGGACTCCTTTCCTGTGCACTGCAGATTGCTCAGCCAGATGGGCCCTGATCCCTCCCCGAAGTAAGCATAGGTTCTGGCCTCCAGGGCTTCTCCACAGCCCAGCTGTCTGCACACCACGTGGGCATCAGGCAGGTCCCAACCATCATCACAGATGGTGCCCCAGGAGCCCTGGAGAAGGATCTCCACCCTTCCGGCACAACGATGGCCTCCGTCCACCAGGCGGAGCTGCGGGCTGTCTGAGGAGAGAGTCAGGTCAAGGAGCATCTAACCTGGAAGAGGAAGGCTGCCCTGGTCCTGGGAACCCTTCGCCTGAGCAACTGGCTGTGCCCCCCTCTGAGGCTTCAGGGCCTCCTAATGTAGATATAGCAATAGGAAAGAACAGGGCTCCCCGGTGGCGCAGCGGTTGAGCGCTGGGTTACGAAGCTGCGCTCAGCCTCTGGTCCCCGGCTGCTCCTGAGGAGGGTCCCACATGGCGCGCAATCAAGTGCAGAAAATGACTGCAGTGCATGAAAATATGGAAAAAGGAAAGAACAGGAGAAATGGAAAACAACTAGTGAGCAGTCTGAGAGAGCAGGTGTGACCAGACCTGTCAGAGTAACCCTGATGTAGAGTCTACACGGCATCTGACAAGATGTCCCGAAATGTCAGACTCTTTGCCCTGAGCAGATAAATGAGAGTAGAGTGGCTAGAGAGGGCTTGTAGCTGGTGGTATCCCTATAAATCACACCCATTTCCGTGCTATTGAATAAAGGGAACTGTTGTGAGCTTATCAGAATCCACTGGAGGCAGCCCAGGAGACCTGTTTCCAGTTAGAGCTGCTCTTGTCATAGTCACTCACAGCTGAAGAATGAAAGGACCATGAGACAAGCCAGGATTTACCCAGAATATTTCATTTATGGTTCTAGGCTCCAAAATGAACTTCTCCTTGAGTAGACGGGGCCACCTCACACGGGAGACGACGTCAGATGAGACTAACATTGGCAGAGACAATGGGCATCACACATCTGCTTCTTCCCTGAGACAGTATAATCTCTACTTGAACTTCATGTCAGGAATTGCTATTATTCAAATTTTGGAGTTATTCAGTGTTTAGGAGAAAATATAATGTATCCCTAATCCCACCACGGAGTAGAATCAGGTTATATTCCTGGGTTGAAAACATTCAAACAGATTTGACTTATCTGTCAAATACAGTTGCTGTATTATTATTTTCTCCTTTCATATACAAAAAAATAGATACATTGAGAAGTTAAATAATGTGTCAGTATTGCAATTTAAATAAGGATGAAAGAGAGAATAAAATCTAGAGCTTCTATAAATAAAATAAAAAATAAATAAAATAAAAAATGGAGGAGTTGTAGGTTTTATTATCTATTCCATGACTGACTTAAAGTAAATGCTGGCACTGGAGTTTGAAATAAGAGATCTGAGACCCACAACATAGAGCAGGTTTTCTTGCAAATATATGCCTGGTGTACATGTTGTTCAGGGCAGGAGGCCAAAGAGCTATGTCAAAACTCATGGAAAGCAGAGTGGCTAGTCCTTTATTCTCTTGGTGCTGAGCTACCAATATATCCAGGCTCTCAGCTGAATTCTGAGTTCACAGAATGCCCTTGCCACAGGCACAGAGAGAGGCAGAGGTAGACTGAGGGTCACCTAAACTGCCAGGGAGGCTTGTTCCAGCTCAGGTCTGGGTTACAGTTAGATATCTGGGTGCTCAGCAGCCCCAGCCCCACCTGTCTAGCTAACAGAAAATAATGCTTCCAGGTGTCAGAAAAGATATCTGGAGTTTCTAATTTTTTTGATATTTTATTTTATATAATTCTTACATCATTTTTCATTTTTTCACAATGTATGCATTTTCATTTTGGTTATATTCCCCATACAATTGCACCCCCCCCCCTTATTTTGACCCTTGTCATTCCTTTCCCCACCATCCCTCCTACCCCTCGTAGTGTGTCTCTGGTTTATAGTTGCTTGTTGATTTTGATTTTTACTTTGTATCAATTAGTCTTTTTCCTGGTCCCTTATTTAGGTTTTCTAAATTCCTGCTATGAGTGAGACCATCCGGTATTTTTCTTTTTCTTTCTAATTTTTAATATTAAACATAAAGTTACACGGCATGTAGAAAGATGGGCTCACATTACATGATGAAAAGGAAAGCAATATAAGAGAAGTTAGAAACACACATAGCAGATGAGAGTTTTAACTATGATTCATGAATTTAATTAAAAAAAGGCGGGCAGAACACAAGACCATTAAAAATGAAGAGAACCTAACATCAAATTGTAAATACATTAAAGATATCAAAGTAACAGTTGCCAACTAAGGAGGAGGACAGATAGCAACAGAGAATGGTGAAGTTATATTTGAAGAGATAATGGTTGAGAATTTTCAAAAATGGATGTAAGCTGTAACTCACATTTTCAAGAAGCTCAGAATTCCAAGGAAGATATGAAAACCCCAACACCTTGTAAAGCTGATAAAAATCAAAGCAAAACAGGAATATCGTAGTTTAATTTTTTTTAAAAAAAGGCCTAAAACTGGAGAGAAAAGGCTGTAAAGCAGGTGAGTCAATTAAAAGTAAATGGTATATATTAACAATATCAGCGATTGTATTTAAAGTAAATGCATCAGGTACTTCAATTAAAAGCAAATCAAGACAAAGCAACAAAACTTGAGTAAATGTTACCTGTCTAATATACAAGGACAAAAGACAGTTGAAAATAAAATGATGGGAAAATATGTATACTATGGAAACATTGTTAAAACCCACATTGGATGAGTATCCTTTAGACCAGATGAAAAACAGTAGGTAAATGGGAAATATTTTCCAAAATATTTCTGTGACTCTGTTCAATGAGACAAACCTCTATTAAAGCAGGGACTTCACATTCAGAAAGGATGACAGGGAGCGGCAGGTCCAGCTGCACGTGCCAAGCTCAGGAGAAAGTCAGGGCTCTTTGGCACCTGATACCAGGTCTGCAATTAAGCAAGGAGATGGGGCAACTCATGTGCACTGATGCTTTAATATGTGAGCCTGTGCTTGAGTCATACGCTCTTATGAGATTTGTCTCTGAGAAGATCATGCTTGTCAGAGTGAAGTGTAATTTCTTCTTGGTAAATGTACTCATTGCACTCACAGTCAGAGAGGGCCAGAATGGAATCCAAACCAATTTCATATTTCATTTTCAGAGTGCACTTCTCCCCTAAGAACCTGAGAAGCCTGCAAAGGGACAGCCGTCCTCAAAAGGTCATGTACCAGGAATGAAAGTTTCAAGAAATGTAAGTGTGGAGCAGACTCTTATTGAGAGGAGAATTTCCCGAAGTAGAAAGTGAAAGACTTCTGAGTGGAGGGGCTTGAAATCAGGAGGAAACAGGGAACTGGGAAGGAGTAGAGAGGGAGGAGCTTCTAGAGCAGCCAGGCCCAAGTCCCACACCTGAGAGACATGCTGACCAGGATGTGCCAGATCATTGTCACGTCAGGGCTCAACCCTGATATCTTGGGCTCTGCGGGTCAGGGCCCAGGGGAGAGCAGATGCCATGTAGGATCTGGGGGAACTACAGGGAGAAAATCCACTTAAGGACATTCACAAGCTCAGGGCTCTTCCTCAACAGCAGACCCTGAGGATGTCACAGGCATAACTGAGTTCCCACTGGGAAGGAAACACTGGCCAAGAGGGGCTCATCCTGGTCTCACAGGCCACATCCCTCTTCCTACAGTTCTTATCTCAGTCCACCAGGGACACCCACATTTGCATCAGTTTTTCTGTTTCCCCCTGGGGAGAAGGACCATGGAGCAAACACGTAGGAAGGTAGAGAGATAGAGTCCTGCCAGCACCCAGTGCTGGGGAAGATGACAGCAAAGCAGAAAAACGTTTGAACTGTGGGTTTGTGGGGAAGAAAAAAGCAAGGTACAGGCAGGTTTAGATTGCAGGTGCAGGGGTGTCTGGGGGGGGTAATTAAAGTTTCTATTTGGAGGGTTTTCTTTAAAGGTATCCATATCTGCCCTCATCATAGACATGTACACACACAGCAGCACCACCATCACTTCACCACAATCCAGTTGTCTGCCTTAGAGTGTGATTCTGTGGACTCCTTTCTAGAAAGCTGACATCCTTGGCAGACATGCTCCAGCTCACACATTCATCCTTCACATGCTCTTAAAACTCCCCCTTTATCTCTCTCTTTCTCTCTCTCTGTTTCGCTGTCTCTCATCTTTAGGGTAACAGAACAGAAACCCACAATCCTGATAGGGAGACACAGTATTGGGTGCAGGATCGAATCTCAGTCATAATCCATTCATAATCCTCAGTCATAATCCATAATCATAATCCTCAGAAATTCACTCAGTCATAATCCATTATAGGAAAACTGGGAAGTCGTCTAACATTTTCAATGTTTGAAGCATTATTGAGGGGGACTGAACACAAATTCTGGTTAATCTAGAACAAGCTTTGAATATGGCCAATATCGTACAGCCTAGCTAGAAAAGCAGAGTCCCCTCAGGAGAAAAATGAACATTCACCATCATTAAAGATGACATTTGGTCAAAACCAAGGGGTCAACAGAGAGGAGTTGCATTTGCAATTCCAGGGCTCTGAGAACTGAGGCAGCATCTCTGCTGATCTTAGGGAGGGAGGCTCCGCTTACCTTGGGCACTTGCTAGGACAGCGGAGAGGAGAAAATTAAGTCCTGGGAGAAAACAGTGTCCATTCATGGTAGTTCTGATCCTCATGCTATCAGGTAACAGACTCAGTTTCCCCCAATATACAAAGAACCCCCTCAGACCTTACTGGGGGCTCCCACTCCCAGGAGGGGCTTATATATTCCCACCCCTTGACTTTGCCATCTTCCGGAGCCAATAGAAACCCTGCTGAGTATCGTCCCTGCATCAAACACTCCATAAATGGAAACTTTCTGAGGTTCAAACACCAATTAGATGCTCTATCTGAGATATCTCCTTATATGAGAGGCGAGGTTTTCTGACATCAGGAGTCATCTGTGCCCACAGTGGACACAGAAAAGCTGAATTAGAGAAAGATGCATCACTGTCTCTTCCCCAAGGGTCTGGTCCAGTGACTCGTTCAGCTGCTGGGAGGGGTCAGGTGGTGCTGATGGTTCTGGGTCAGCTCCACCACCCACGGGCCCAGGTAAAGAGGACTGTTGGTAATGAAACTACGTCTCCTGTGCCAAGTGCCCAGCATGTTGTGGCTGCAAAGAAACAAGAAGAATCTACTGTGAGAACAAATAGTCAGATGAGTAGGAAACTGGTTTAGAAGGAAAAGTCCTTGGGGGGAAAAACTGAGACTGGCATTAAGGGAACACAATCACTAGCCTTATGGGGGGGGGCTCCCCTTTTTCTATCTGGTTGGTAAGAGAAAGCTTCATAAAATCCTGGGTTTCTGATGCAACTGTATAAAGTTTGTTTGTCTTCCCTTCCTTCACTTCTTGCCTCCAGAACTATCATGGCCAGCACAGACACTTCACCAGGAATAAACTATACTTCCCTGGGACATGGTAGGACTATACATTATAACATAACTACAAAATTCACCCCCTTTTCACACTGTGGCAATCTGCACCTGGCAGCCCAATCTGTACTGGCTATTAAGGGGGTGCCCTTCTGCTCCAGGGTCCTCAATGTCGACATTTCAGTCCCTCTGCCTCCCCTTCCTCCTGTCATTTTCATATGAGCCACTTACTCGATTTTCATATTCTCTTCTGGCATCCTTGAGGCCAAATAAGATGGCCTCATTACAATGCTTGGAAATGGAATTCATTGGACACAACTTGCTTTAGTTCATCCTTGATGACAGCAAAACAGCCTTCATCATTTTATCACTTAACAACTTTTTTATTAAAATATAAATGACAAGTTGGCCTCCCTGGTGGCACAAGGGGTTAAGCATAGCACTGTGAAGCTATCTGCAGCCACTGCAGCACGATTCCGTCCCTGGCCAGGGAGCTACCCATATGACACAGCAGACCTCTCCTGTCTCTCCCCCTGCTCCCCTCAGCAGTATGTTTCAGTGAGTCTGCCTGTTCTGTTCACTACTCTGTCTCTGGTGAGTCCTCTCACCTCCCCCTCTCCACACCTCTGGCCTGTACCCCAGCTTTTGCATGCATAAATAAATAAATCTTTAAAAAATGTGTAAATGACAAGTGTCACTGTGTCTATTTAAGGTATGTATTGATATGTTTATATATGTATCATGTATGTATTAGTATATATATGGATTTATACATATACATGTATCACATACGGAGGTGACTACTACCATGTGTTAGTTAACACTATATCATGTCCCATGATTATTATGTTTTTTAGTTGTCATAGAACAACTAAGATCTAGTTTCAGAGCAACCTTGAAATTTATAGTATAGTGTTGTTGTCCCTAATCTCCACACAGTGCATTAGATCTCCTGGACTTTTTCATCTAGTACTTACAGTTCCTTACCGTTAAAAAGCATCTCTCCAATAACCCAACCCATCCCCTGGTAATCTCTACACTTTGTTTATACGAGCTCAGTCATTGTTAGATTTCACATACTGGTGATATCATACACTATCTGTCTTTCTCTGTCTAGTGTATCTCAATTAGCATAAACCCTCCTACCACACTGCTGCAGGAAACTAGACCCAGGTGCTGCCCTTGTGCACCCACTGCCTGACTCTGCCATCAGGCTCTGCAGCCTCAGAAGAGGATGCTGCCGGGTGCTCAGGTGATGGACCCCCAGCACCAGGAAAGCCTTCTTCTGAATTACATGCCCCATTGTCCTGACTCTCCCTCCTCAGAGAGCACACAGCTCTGCCTGGTGGACAGAGGCCATTGCTGCACTGGCACAGTGGAGATCTTCACCAGGGCTCCTGGGACACCCTGTGTGATGATGCTTGTGACCTGCCTGATGTCCACGTGGTGTGAGACAGCTGGGCTGTGGAGAGGCCCTCATTGCCACAGTCACTGCTCACTTTGGGGAGGGAACAGGGTCTATTGACTGGATGAGGTGAGGTGCAGAGGCAGGAGCTCGGCCCTGTGGGCCTGGGAAGCCCTGGAGTGATTGTAAACAAGAAGCCTAAAAACACTGTCTTAAAAAAATAACATCTCGGAAGCATAATCTGACTACTTTAGTTATCTGAATACAAAGTCTTAATCAGGAAATATTGAAATTTGGATATTTTGCTGGCTTATGCAATCAAAATGAAATATTTGGCCTAGAAAAAAGACCCCTAGAACATGGAGTGAATGGATCCTTTATTTAGGAACCATCAGACTCGCAGGTGAACAGGTATTTAGCTCTTACCTAGTTATCCTTTTACTGTGGCTTTACCTGATCACGTCCTGTACCCTTAGATCCCTCAGCTCAGAGGCCTTATGGCCCAGGCAAGGGTTATGATGCTGCTGAAGATGTGCCTGTACCTGAGGCTCCTTCTACATCTGAGAGGAGAATGTGAGGAGGGTCACTCAGACAGGAGAGTGGGGGGTAGTTGATCTGTGATCTTTCACCTCTGTCCTGGGTAGGATGATTTTGAGCTCCCCCAGGCTTCTCATCCTGCATATCAAAATTTGTGCCACCTCATGTGTTTACAGAAAATCCTCTAAAATATCTTCCTTAATGCTGTCAGGTGTCTTGATATGGAGGAAACATTTGTCGTTTTGACATCATAACTATATCTGAAATATGTGTTCTTAAAGATTTGTAGATTAATTGAATGAATTTCCCAAATCTGGCAATGGAAGTACTGCTGGTAACACTTTTGTACTCTCGTGTATGTGAAAGGAGATTGGAGATTTTTAAAAAATAGGGCAGTTTAAGAATTAATGGGGCATTCTGGGGATGCGAGATGCACTGTGAACATATTTTAGCACTACTATGTGCAAGTCTATATGAAGTAGCTTTAACAATAAAGCCCTGGTATTGCACTTAATAATCAGAATTTGGGACAGCCACAACTGTTCTACTCCAGACATTTCAGTGGACAGAGAAGATGCTCATTCTCATGGAAGATGCTCATGTAATCGTGGATCCAGGAACTGTGGAGAATGGATGCTCCTATGATGGTGTCTGTGGACCTTTGGGAACACACATCAAGGCCACCACCAGCAAAGGCAGACTGTTAGGAGGAGCTGAGCTTCCTCTGGATCTGCTCTTCTATCTCCTTCTCTGTGCAAATTCAGACTTGGCAATAGTGAAAGGAAAAATTTCACTTTCCTTTTTATGATTCCCCCTGTTCTTGGGTCAAGTCCTTGCTGAATTGGTGAACCAGGGCACAGGTCTCCATAGAGCACTTCTGGGTGGCCACAGATTTCTGATTATTCAGAGACCACATACACTGGGTGCTGAGAGGTTTTCCTTCTCTATCCCTTGCTGTAACTAATATGAAATTGTCTGAGCCCCACCCTCCCTTCGCCCCCTCCAAGCCTTACTGGGTCTTCAGGGATGGTTAATCATCACCAATCACTGGTCCTTCCCCTCCTTGGGCCATTGTCCTCTCCCCTTGTCACAGCTCTAATCAATCTTCTCTTCACGGTGTTAGACTCTTCTCTGCAGGTCACTAGAGGAGCAATTGAACCTGAGAAAGAAAAGGCAGTTCCCAGCTTCCTGGGGAGAAAAGGGACCCTGCACATGACAGTGTTGAATGATCTTCCCTGGAGCATCCTCAGTGCTGCTACCAGGATGTTTTTTAACACTGAAATGAGGCTGTAGATATTCTAAATGTGTGTATTCTGATAGAGTAGTAATGGCCTATATTTGTTTATAGACATTGCTCAACATTAAACATTCTATATAAAGTACTTTTGATTTGTTGCTAATTTAGTAAGTTTCACCCTAATTGCTCTTACACAATTGGTCCTCAAACACACTTTTCTTCAAGGAAATAGGTGAGTGAACTGATTGTTTTCTCACCTCCTCACAGGCTACTCAAGGTGTACTTTGCCCAGATTCCTGAATGTTCCAGGTGTCACTTCCTTAGACAAGGGACTCTAACATGACCCTGCCTCCAAAAGAACCTGACCTGTTTAGGGAAAACTGACAGACTCCGTATGCTGGTTCCGAAAATGACTGTAAATAAATAGTTAAGGAGGCTGACGAGAGAAGCTGAGCTCCACGTGTAGGCAGGTCTGTGGACTCAGCTCAGGGCTTTGTGACTCTAATGTAGCTAGTGTCTTCCAAATTTCGATTTAAGGTAGTGCTTGTGGAGCATTTGAAAAAAAAAATTGTACATGTAGTCGGTGCATTTTGGAAAAGTTTTCCATTATGTCATGGACGTTCTTGGTAATAAACATCTTATTTCCCAAAGTACTTATTTTTCAAAACCTTGGTGAAATCTTCTGTAGTTAGAAGGCTGTAAATGTTCACTGTACTGATTTGCAGGTGACTTATTATAAAATGTCATGTAGTGGATAATGAACCAGAAGTGTTTCCAACAGAAGAATTTCATTATTTGACTTGCCTGCTTGTCTCCCTCTAGCCCTCCCTCCACTCCACCCCCCAATTCTCTCTCTCTTGTTACAACTGAAGGAAATAGGTGTGGATGATTGGAAATGGAATAGGAAAAAGAAGCTACTTCAAAAGGTTTTTAATGGTGAAGTTTGATTACCATGGGCTTAAATAAATGTCTTCAGAGCAGGGAATAGAAGAGTTGTTCATGGAAAAGGATAGAAATCATGAGGATTTATGAACACCAGGATGTGCAATTTCAGGTAGAAAGGGCAGATTGGGGATGTTGGAGAATAACAAGGAAAGAGAAGGGCGTTGTAGGGAGATTTTTGACATTGATATTCCATAAGCCTGTTGGCAAAATTAGTAGAGCTGCAACCATTTCCCTCCTGCTTACTCACCCCATCCACTGTGACTCTCATTTCTGGGTTTTAGCAAAGGAGGTGCGGCATTTTTTGGAACATTAAGTGAAGTTTTTCCAAGTGTATATTACTGAGTAAACACTTAGTTCAGGCCAGATTTCAGGTTTTTTACTGTTCCAGAAAGTGTGACATTCTCTGCATGTAAAGGAGGCAAGAGTGTAGGATGAGGGATGTGATACACGGATATTTCAACTGAGATTTCACTTGGGTGTGGGGTGTGATTGGAGACTGAATTTTCCAAGGTCAGTGGGGTCAATGTATCTGGATTCTTAACAACACTTGACCTTGATGCTCAGGGTGTTAATTATGAAGATTGTCCTTTCATCACAGGCCCAAGTCAAACCTCCACATTAATGAAGAAGACAGAATTCTCATGTATTGGGTAAGCAATGTTACAGAGGGTTCTTTGAAGATTTATTTGATCCAAAAAGTGGTGCTACATGATGCTAAACTCAACATCATCATACCCAGGGTCTTCTTGTCTCAGGATCAATGGGAGTCCTCCCTCCCCCATGCCAGAGATGACAGCTTCTCCAGGAGACTGCAGAGAGAAACCTGCAAGGTGATGGAAAGTCTGGTTTCAGTGGTGACAATAAAAAGAATTCTTTGGTAGAAAGAGATAAGTGCAGAAAGACTACAGAGTATCTGTAAGACCCAGCAGCTCCTGAAAGGCTAAAGCTGCTTCTTCCACTCAGCTACTCTGTGCAAAGTCATGTCTTGCTCTTGACAGCTGCAAGGCATTGGGGCAATAATGGTGAGGACTGGAGAAGAGAATGAACACTCTCACACCCATGTGGTCTGATTTCTTCAGGAGTGGGGACAGGAGGTGACTCCCCTAGATTCCTCAATCTTGGTGATTGAGGAATACCACCTCAACACCAGCCCAAGTCAGACCCAGAAATCTTCAGGAGAACAATCTGGGTTCTCTGTCAGAGGACAAAAGGAACAACTCAACCACATCCCATGGCCTCCTGCTCCCCAGGCCCCACATGTTCACACATAAGCAGAGGCCTAGTCCTAGGAAGGTGGTTTTTCATTTACAACTGAAACAATTCAAGAAAATTATCTCTTAGTTTCATTCTACAGCTGAGATTTTATCACTCCAATTAGGGCCTTTGAACATCTGCATTAATAACAGTCAACCCCAAATTTAAATAACTGGATATATGGTTCCCCCAAACAAATTTTTCTAGCTTTCAAATTTAATTTACACTGCTATTGAAACTTTCCAGATTACTTCCCACAATCTGAAAAAGCCCCAATTTTATTTTCAGATCATAGTCTCAATTTGGGATGTGAAAAAATGAGTATAAAGCCTCTGCCACTCATATAAGAATGTCTGTATCGAGATGATGTAGGAAATGGACATAAGAACACAGTATGTGTCTCCTCTCAGAACAGATGAAATTGACAACATCCAAGAGACACCTCTTCCAGGTCTAGAGGGCTGCAGATGTTGATTGCAAAAATAAACTGACTATTGACAAGTCCAAATTCATCCTCCCACTGAAAAGGAAATGAGGCTATTAGAGACAGAGCTGAGACTCACCTGGCTGGGAATACCGTGCACCACCGTCCTCCTCTGGGGAAAAATGATTCCTACTTATTTCTTGGGAAGTAGGAATTTCAGGAACAGGAAACTCTTCAACATCATCATAACCATCCCCTGTGGCTCTGACATGCTGTCCGGGAGACTCTGGAAATGAACAAGGACTGAGGGTGGACTGGGGAGTGCTCACGCCCTTCTACTACAGAGATTAGAACAGCTGATATGTATAAGCTCTAGATTGCAGGGCTGTCTCTGGCATATATTTCAACTCAATATTTTCAGAAATTATTTGACTCTTCTACATACTCCAGTATAACTTTCTTAACATGGTTCTCATACCATTAAGCATCAACAAAAACTATTGTAATATGAAACCTGATACTACATTCAAGCACATGCTACAGACTTGAAACATATACTATGTACAAATCAGTGTCTTAAAGTGAATTGAGACGAGAGAACCCATCTGTCCACATGCTTCTGAGTCTGTGGGAAACACAGAGCAAACAGGTGAAGGAAGCTTGGTACCTCTCACTCCTAGACAGGCGATCCCTTATCCTGCACCAAAGGGGCCTGGGTTTCACTCTACTGATCTAAGGATGTTTTGATATGAGGATCCAATTTCCAGGATCCCTCTGACATGTCTCATGTCTCATCCCCAGAACTATGCATCATCACCATCTGGGGAAGATCTAAGAGGAACATTCTCCTCTCTCAGGTCCCTTGTCACTAAGAGCTTGTCAATAAGGTGGTAAGTAGAAGCATCAGCAGGCCATATTTTCTTTTATTTATTTATTTGGGGTGCAGGCCAGGGGTTCTTGGGGTGAGAGGATTCACCAGAGACACAGTGGGGAGCAGCACAGGAGGATCTACAGAAATACACTGCTGAAGGGAGCAGCGGGAGAGACAGGAGAGGTCTGCTGCACTATGTATGTTAGCTCCCTGGTGGGGCTCGAACTCATGTTGCATTGGCTGCAGATAGCTTCAAAATGCTGTGGCTTAACCCCTTGCACCACCAGGGAGCCCCAGTCCATGTTTTCTAGAGCTTAGCAAAATCGATTTTTGGGATCTCAGTGTGTACATGACCCACAAATATCAACACCATCTTCTGTGCAAACCACAATTCCCAGTGCTCACCCTGGAAATTCTCAAAATGTCAATTTCAGTTATTACTGAAAAAATGGTCTTTGAGTCTATAAGAATTAGATTCATGTCTGCAACTGATTAGAAGTAGCTGAAGATACAGAGAACTGGGTCTGATATTTTACTTTGTGAGGTGACAGAGTGGGCGGAGAGAGCAAAGGTTTTTGTGAAGAAGACAGAAGAGAATCCTCACATCCTCATCACAGAATTTCTCTTCAGAAGAGATTCCTCCTTTTCATGCCCACAAACCAAGCAAAAATCTGTGTCTCCTACCTGGGGCAGATCCAGGGTCTCCATTCTCCTCATCATCCCCTGTGTAATATGGCAGCTTAGTCGATGAGTCATCAGACAGGTTTTCTGGGGAGGGGGTGGTGGTGGAGAACATTACAGAGAGAAATGTTTGCCATAGTAGGAGGCCTGGTGTCAAGGTTCAGAAGAAATGGGGCTTCAGTGTTGTAGGGAGAGGGCTGGGAGTTCCTGCTTTGGGAGGAGGGAGAGGTTGAGTCTATAAATGTGAAGGGAACCCATGGTCAGCTCAGGAACAGCGGGGAGGGCATGGGACATACCTGAGCTGTCCAAAATGTTCTCCTTTTCCGGCAGAGCATAGTTATCAATTTCCTGGTACAAGGCCTCATCTAGCACATCTTCAAAAGCAGGTGATGCTACAGAAAATGGCACGAAGTCAGAGAAAGTCCTGGAGACAGTCCCTATACAACAGGCAAGACACATGGTGCTCTCTTGTGCCCTTCTCTGGGGGTTCCCTCTGGGCTGCCAGAGCCCCTTGCTGAGCTCTGTGGGACAGAGACAGTTTTCCTGACACTGACTATGACCCTTACTCAATTACCACTGACATTGCTTCCATAGTGAGTCATAAGTTTTGAGAGGTTTTACATTCAATCAAGGATTCAGCTGTCTCGAATCTTGAAGGCTACTGTAGGGAAGGTGCTTTTGGCAGACTGTGAGGGTGAACAGTTACCGGGGCACTATTCTTGGTATCATAACTGTCTTAACACCTTCCCACAACTTCCCTTTAGCATCCCCCATGGCCTACCTTGGTGCTCTGCTTTCCCTTTGTGCAGCCTAATTCCCAGGATGACCAGGACCAGGAAGAGAAGGACCACTAAGATGATGCAAAAGACCCCAGTCCAGGAGATGCCAGGTGCAGGAGCTGAGTCTGATCTTGGACAGAAGAGGGATGTGAGGTTAAGAGAGGGCTGTAGGTCCAGGAGAGCCCTTCCCTACTTGCCCCTTACTTGCTCATCCACTGAGTCCTCAAGACCATGAAGTTAGCACTCAGATACAATGCTGGGCCTGAACCCAAGATGTGTTCATACAGATCCTGCCCTGAGATGTGCCAGCTGTCTTCTGTATCATTTCTAAGGGTTGTTAGAAAGTGAAGTAGATGAAGTTTTGGAGCATTACAGCTGCCAGTATTAATAGGACTGTAACGTTGGAGCATGTAACGCCCAAGGATGAGGTGAATGTTGTCCTCTCACCTGCAGAGAAGGGGATCAACTACTGAGCTGGGTGGGAAAACTCCAGGGTCACACATACCACTCTGGCACCTTGGTCTCTCCCAGCCCCCAAGGGATCTGGTAATAGCCTTCAGGTGCCAAGGTCCAGAGCAGCAGTGAGTCCAGGAAGAATTTCTGGATGCGAGCACAAGCACTCTCTGGTCACCCCAAAGAAAGGGATCTCTCCACTCACCCGAGCACCTCACTCCCGCGTCCTCCTCGTGCTTGCAGTTGCTCTGCCCCCAGGGAGCCGCAGGGCACTCCCACAGGGAGGACTCCCCGCCCCTGCACCGCACCTCGTCCAGCCAGATGCTGCCATTTCCAGGCCCAAAGGCCGCCGCGCGCGGGGCGTCCAGCGCCGAGCCACAGCCCAGCTGCCCGCACACCACGTGGGCCTCGGCCAGGCCCCAGGAGTCGTCGCACACCGTGCCCCACGCCCCCGCGTGCCACACCTCCACGCGGCCGAGCACGCGCTGTCTCCTCCCTGCAGGCGCAGCTTCTCCCTGTCTGCAAGGCCAGGGGACCCCTGTTAGGGCCCTGCTGGAGGAGGAGCCCCAGGGACAGCCCGGGAGCTGGGAGGGGCTGATGTACCTGTGCAGGGGGCTGCAGATGGACAGTTCCTGTATCTCTTTTCTGTGGAAGCAAAGGGGGATTGGTGAGTCAGCGACAGGAATGGGTGATCTGCTCTCCAAACAATGCCACCTGCTCCAGTCCAAATGACAAGGGGAAACATGGACTTCCTAATTAATCTATTGGCTGAGTGCCTGAAACTCCCTGGATCTTCACCCTCATCAGCTGCTGAAATATTATATCTTTTACCTTGTCTATCACACTCCATGCTCCACAATTTACACACACACACACACACACACACACACACAGATGCAGGTCTGCTAAAGGAAAGACCTGACTCACATCTGTGCCTCTACTCTTTGCTCTGTGCCTGGCACCGCACAGGCCTTCATTCAACAGGTGTGTACAGAATCCTTTGTAAGCACTGGGGAGAGGGGCTTGATCAATATTGCTGAATGAATGGATGACTAAAATCTAGTGAAGTATAGTTCCTCTAAGTTATTTTTTATGAGTAAACTATCATAGAAAAACAAAATCATATAAGTGGTTTGTGTTACTAATAAGAAGATATTTTAAAAATAAGTCTAAACTCACAGAAATAATTCATATTCAATTCTCCATTTGTACTTTTTTAAGGAACATTACATAGCAGATCGACCAAGAAAACTGAGATTCTGATCACCTCTTAGAAATGGTCACTGCATGGAGAGAGATATGGAGACCCAAGGTCACTGGCCCCTCAGCAGTGACAGTCAAGTGAATAAACCAGTTCCTCTTTGACAAAACTGTTTCCTTGCACCCTGCCCACAAGGGGTCTTCCAGGGTTCCCTGTGTTGTTCCCCCTTATTCCTTCTCCTCTCACCATGACAGATATTTCTCAAAACCCAGTATTTACGCAGGCAATATTTACACTGAAGAAGTGGGATAATTTTCCCATGTTTTCTTTGATAGTACTCTTTACTCATCCTTCCAGTCTCCAGGAAACGAGATTTCTTCTTTGGCCCCATTCACCCTTCCACAGCACTTCCTAATCCTCATGACAGTGAAACCTCTGCCTACTGAGAGTTTTCAACCTGAGATCTTATGCTGCACAAGGCAGATTTTGTATATTCTCTCTTCTCCGTCCTCTGGCCTGGAGTGTAATTTTGATTCAACAAGAGCTGGTTTACTCTCTCCCAGCAGACTGACCAGGAGTCTGATGAATACAGATGCATTGGAAAATCCAGAAGCATAAGAGACACAGAGCTTGGGGACCTGGCCCTGACTTATTTCAAGGTGTTCAGCATAGCATTGTCTAGTCATGATTAACTAGCCATTCCTCAGGATTTGATCAAAGGATTATTCACGCTCTCCACAGGTTCCATATTTTTCACATGAACTGCCGTCAGCCCAAGTTTCATTATATTTTCCTCCGAAACAAGTATGGAACATGTGCATTAAATAATTGGCCAATTTCATTTTAAAAACTTAACATAAACTCATAACCCTGATATAAAAATATTATAAAACATCACTAGTGACAGCCTATGGGGCAGAGACAGACACATACAACAGTCACCTGCGCACGTGATAGAAGCTTTGTCTTCTGAAAAGCACGAATGGTATTTCCAAGGGTCAGAAGGACACTGCCAGAGAGAGGTATCGGTTGTCCTACACCAGATTCTATCTACCCACTTGGGCCCAGCACCTTCCCTAGCAGCAACCAAATTGTTGAGGGTCCCGCTGTCCCCACAGCCAAGATGCCTGCAGATCATGGACAAGGTCACAGCATTCACAAGGCTGTTGCACACACTGCCCCAGGTCCCGTTGTAGAAAACTTCCAGCCATCCAGAACAGTCCTGGTCTTCACTTACTACCCTGAGGGCCACAAACTCTGAAAGGTAAAGGAGGAGACAGAGCAATGTGAGCATCCCACTCAGTTCTCTGAGCCCTCTGCAGGATTGCTGGATGCTGCTTCCTGTCAAAACCTTAGAACATGAGGAAGGGGTTGACATAAATAGGGTGCCGTGAGATTAATGCCACCAAAGATGTCTTCATACTGATGCCTGGAAACTGTTAGTATCATCACTTATATATCAATATGTGACCTTGCACGAAAAGAGAGTGTGCAGATGGGACTAAGAGAAAACCTTGGAAAAGTGAGATTAACCTGAATATCAAGGATTAACCAGGTGAGCCAAGTGTAATCACATGTTGGACCCACTATCTGTAAAAGTGGTTTTGGTTAGAGAGAGAGGTTATTATGGAGAATGTTTAGAGATGTAAAACGCTGCTGGTCTGATGACCAAGGAAGGGAGCTCTGAGCGAAGGAGTACAGACAGGTTCTAGAAACTTGGAACTGATTCCTCCACAGGACTTTGAAGTGATGCAGTCCTGCTCACACCTTGATTTTAGCCAGGTGAGCTGGTGTTGGGTTTCTAACCTACAAGACTGTAAGATGATTAATATAAGTTGCTTTAACTACTAATTATGTGGAAATCTGTTATAGCAAGTAGAAACCAGTACAGGATTCTGTATTATATAGATCCTGTAACTGAAGATTGAGCCCTGTTTGCAAATGAAAACTGTAGGACGTGGCTCCATCAGGAGATGTTGCTGTGAGGGAAGGGCTAGACCCTCAGCAGCCACAGGAAGGAAGGAGACACCTAATTCTCATATGTGCTCGAGAGACAGGCACTCTGGAGTGTCTCCCCCACACCCCCACACTCTACTCCCAGTCCCTGGACAATGTGCAGCACAGACCTGAGCAGATGACCCCGGCGTCCTCCTTGTGCCAGCAGTCATGGTGTCCCCAGCCCAGGGATGGGCACATCCACATCTGGGCCTCCTTTCCTGTGCACTGCAGCTCCTCCAGCCAGATGGGCCCTGATCCCTCCCCAAAGTGAGCAGAGACTGTGGCGTTGAGGGCCTCCCCACAGCTCAGCTGTCTGCACACCACGTGGGCATCACGCAGGTCCCAGCCATCATCACAGATGGTGCCCCAGGAGCCCTGGTGAAGGATCTCCACTCTGCCGGCGCAGGGATGGCCTCCATCCACCAGGCGGAGCTGTGTGCTGTCTGCGGAGAGAGTCAGGTCAGTGGGGCTCTAATGTGCAAGGAGAAGCTTTCCTGGTCCTGGCAGGCCCTCACCTGAGCAGTTGGCTGTGCCCTCCTCTGAAGCTGCAGAGCCTGCTGGTGGAGACGGAGGGTGGGTGCACAGGGGCAGCACCTGGGTCTGGTTTCCTGCAGAGTACCGAGGACAGAGGGTTAGTGGGGTTGAAGAGTAGAAAACTGAATTAAACTACATAATAAACTCTTGCTGGGGTCTAAGATGAAATCTAACAGGACAGTCATGGCATCATAATTTTAGATTTCACTTTCAGTGTAGAAATTATGTCCCCAAAGACCAATATTTCTGGGATTTTTTGTTTGTTTTTTAATTATTTAAAAAAATTTTTACATCATTGTTCATTTTGAAACAATATTTGCTTCCCCTCCCTCAGGTGTAGTCCCCATAGAATTTCCTTTACCAATGCACCCGTGCACCATCACCTCCTGTGATGGAGTCCCCTATGCTCCTCCCTCCCTCCCTCTCACCCCTCTTCCCCATCCTCTTCTGTAGTATGTCTCTGATTTATAATTGTCTTTTTTTGTTTTGTTTTATATAGTTATTATATTTTACACTGATGTCTTATTTGGTTCCCCTATATTCCCGCTATAAGTGAAACCATCCAATATTTTTTCTTTTTCCTCTGAATGAGCATAAATCCTTCTAGCTCCATCCACATTGCTGTGAATGGCAGGAGTTTATCTTTTTTGATTGCTGAATAATATTCCATTGTGTATATATACCACATTTTCTTGATCCACTAATATTTCTGTTTTTAAGCCAAATACAGAGAATCACTGAGAATGAACATTAAAAAGTTGGAATATGGCAATAGAGTTGAAGGTGTTGCAGAGTTTAAAGGATTGTGAGAATTTTGGAACCAGATGCTCAGAGAGAAGCAAAGAGCAGGAGTGAATCTCTTTCCCCTTGAGACCTGTGTCAACTCAACATTACAGATGTGACTGAAAACCTCAGCAGAGATTTGGAGGCAGGAGTACAGTGGACCTCAGAGGAGAGTATAAGGAAGACAGCACAGAACGAAATAATTAGAAACGTGAAAAGGGGCACAACAGATAGGGTGGAAGGTCTAAGTTACATATATAAGAAGTTTTAGACCCTTAAACACACAAATGAAAGAAGGAAAGGTAGAAACTAAAAACCCACTCTCACAGTGGGACGTTTCGTACATCCTGGTACCATTTAAACATATCTACAAAATCATTGATACTGTGGCCACTGAGGAGTGAAGTCTATGCCTCCATCTCTTGCATCTCACTGACCTTCATGACTTGCTTGTAGGCAACGCGATGCAGTGGAGGCAACACTGCTGATTCCCTGCACCAGGACAGAAAAGTCGTGCAGCCTCCCCAGCCTCACTGAGGACACATGCTTTAGGGGAGCTGCTCTGCTGAGCCTGTCCTAGGGAAAGCCACAGGCAGGGGGTCTGCCCTCCTGTCATTGAGCATCCTGGGTTCCCAGTTCAGGCAGCTCCAGCAACAGCGACATGAATCTAATAGACATAACTGCCAAACTGAGCTTCCCCAAATCCCTGACCCAGGAAATTACAGCAAAATAAAAATGCATTTTTGTTTCTGATGCTAACTTTTTTTGGGGAAATTGGTAGCCAGCAATAGCAACCCAGGTACTTATGAGGCCTAACAAGGAAGAGAAATGCTTTTCTTCAACTAAGCTTCTCCTACAGAGAATTTAAAATGTGTGTCTGCAGGACTTGTCTATGGATGTTGAGAACGTGTTTATTCACAGGAGCCAAGACATCTTCCTTTGGGGTCAAGGAAGTAGGCAGAACTCAGAAGGGCTTACTAGCAGAAGGCTGCTGGGTCGGGGGAAATATTGATGAGAGGCTAAGGCATGAAGAATATGTGATTGGAAGAAGAAAAACAAAGTGATTGCTTTCCATAATCATAGTGTGAAGCAATGTGTATTCAGAAAACAAAAGTGAAAGATCTGTCCCTTTCAGAAAAGCTCTCAGTAGGTATTTGGAATATGTGAATGGCATGATTTGTAAAATCTGCACAAAACAGAAGAATACACATTATTCTTAAGGGCATGTAGGCCATTTACCAACATTGATTGTATGTTATGGCAAAATGAGTTCCAAATGTTTTCAAAGGGAAAACTAAGAAGTCATAAAAATCATATATGTTGACCACAGAGAATTAACCCAGAAAAAAAAGAAAACTGGTTAAAAAAAATTAGACTGGATTAATGTGTAATTCTCTTGCAATAAAACACCTACATTAAGAGTACATGTGGAGAAAATTACTCAGCATTCAAAAAAGATAAACACATGCAATTTGCAGCAACATGGATGGCACTGGAAGGGATCATGCTCAGCGAAATAAGCCAAAAAGAAAAAGAAAAATACCGGATGGTCTCACTCATAGCAGGAATCTAGAAAACTTAAATAAGGGACCAGGAAAATGAATATAAGAAAGTGAAAATCAAAATCAAAAAAAAACTATGAACCAGAGACACTTTTTGGGGGGGGGGGCGTTAGGGGAAGGATTGGGGTCAGAATGGGGCGTTTGCAATTGTATGGGGGAATATAAACATAAAATTTAATATTTAAAAAAAAAAAAAAAAAAGCAAAGAGTTAAAAAAAAAAAAAAAAAAAGAGTACATGTGGACACATTTTGACAAAAGTTTGTTCTATATAATCCACCCTTCAATCCGAAGCCAGTTTTCCTATACATCCTCTTCTGAGGGACCTGAGCACCCTGAGTGCATTTACCACCCCTCTCTCACCTGAGCAGATCACAGAGGCTGTGTTTCCAGGGCCGCAGTCAGGAGCACCCAGTGCAGTCATGGGGCAGTTCCACAAGGAGGCCTCAGCCCCTGAGCAGTGAAATCGGCCCCTCCAGACCTGGTCAGCTCCTCCCCTAGAGCGTGCTACTTTGGGGGTGGACAGGGCGACTCCACAGCCAAGCTGACGACACACAACATGGGCATTGGCCAGACTCCAGTGGGAGGCGCAGAGTGAGCTCCAGTGCCCAGAAATATGCATCTCCACCTGTCCCTCACACTGAGAGCTGCCCTCGTTCATGAGTCGGATTTCTGTGTATGCTGGGAGGAGAAGATAGGACTTCAGCCAAAAGTCATGTGTTTCTTAGCCCATCAAAGAAAGCAGGGAAGGAGAATCCTGCTCTGTTCTCACCTGAGCATACAAGGTGAACAGCCCCACGGTGGGGGCAGGTGCCTCCAGGACAGGGCACCCTGGGGCACAACTGGAGCTCTGGCTCCTGCCCCTTACACCGGAACTCCTCAGCAAAGATCCGTCCATCTGACTCTCTGAAGGGCACGCCCCCCAGCACAGATGCAGCCTTGCCGCACCCCAGTTGTGCACAGATGACCTGGGCGGTGGGGGATGTGAAGTTCCCGTCAGACACTGGAGTCCAGTCTCCTCTGGAATACACTTCCACTCGCCCTGAGCAGAGCCCACTCCCTCCAGTCAGACGTATAAATCCTAGAGAAAAGACAAGAGAGAGAGTGTTCACGACCTGTCAGTGGCATGGGAAATGGCATGTACAGGCAATGGTGTAAATATCTTTCTCTCTAAGGGCAGAGCGTGGAAAGAGAATCTGACAGTCAGAATTGACTTTTCAAGAGTGAGTTTCTGAAGATAAGTCCAGAAGGATTTTCAGGGTCAGTTAGATGACTGAATCCCAAGAATATGTACATTTTGAGGTGTCAGAAATGTGAATTCCATATCTAGTCGTCAGGAAGTTACAGGACCTGAGGCCATTGCTCTGTAGTGGGTGTTCAGACTTGCTCCCAAGATGTCTAGCCCAGAGTCAACAGAGCCTTGGCATTAAGGAGGCTAGAGGCCTGTTATCCAGACATGACCGCCACCCTGAGATTTCTGGCGTGACAGTTCTGGCCACTGTTATCTCAGAAGCTGGTCCTCTAGTGACTGAGGATTAGGAAATCCATGAGTCCTGGCCCATGAGAGCTTCCAGCCACAGACAGACTGATGTTCCAGGGAGGAAATAGACAATGTCCACTTCCATGGTTTCACATGCTATTTTTTGACAATTTTTGATGGCAAGAAATTCCAAGAACTTCTTAGGTGACCTGATTGTGAAAGAGGCTGTGCACAGATGAATTTGGATGTTCAGAAAGCTCAGAGTCATAGTACAAGGAGAATTGATCTTAGAGTTTTCTCCTAAAACCCTGGGATTTGTCCATGAACTTGCTGGAGAGTGAGATCTCACTGGGAGATCATGAGACACAAATGTGCTGATCCCTTTCTACTACAGGTTTTTCTTTGTATTTTAATCCTATCACTATGTTAACTCTTTGTTCCTGTCCTGTGTGAGTTCTTGAATAAGCAGCATACGATAAAAATGGTGAGAGGGAGAAGAGGGAAGCAAACAGGTCAGAATTTGGATTGCACCAGCCTTAATAAGGATAAAAGATACAAAAACTTGGAGGAAATATTTGTCAAACAAGATATGAACACATTTTATCATCCTGTATTCCTCCCATCCTATCCCTGCACCCCATCCTATTACCACCACCTATCCCTGCAACCATTTCTCATTTCTTTCATGTAGACTGAAAAAACAATCTTAAGAGCTACAATTGGGTGGAAAGAAGAATAAAAAGGGCAGCAACGTTTGTATAAGTGGGGTGTGGGTGGGGTGTGTGGTAGGTTATGTTGGGAGTGGGTGAAGTTTAAACTTAATGAGGGAGACCACAGAAAGATTCATGATCATAATTTGGTCATTTAGGGACCATATTTTGGATAAAATGAAATGAAAATGTAAAATAATGAAAATTATAAAGAATATTTTTCATATGCATGTCTGGCTTCTGAGTGTGGAATATTAATTATGGACATGATAAAATTCTTTCTGGTAAAGGATTCTGCATAAGTATGCAAACTGTGAAGTATGCATGACAGGATTTCAGAAGAATGAATCTAAATACATGCTACAGAAAGCAAAACAAAGCAGAATGACACACAGAAATTAAAGAATTTAAGGACAAAGGGGTTCACTTACATGAGTATGACTGGTGAGATTATAGCGTGTCTTTCATTTCTGACCCATTTCCATACCCAGAGAGGCCCAGGGCAGGACCCCCAATCTGGGCTAGTTGGGAGTTTGTCTGTATGCTTCTCATTCTAATTAAAGCATTTTTCTCATAACAGGTTGTTAGTTTCAATATTAAGCTCATGAAATGACAAACTCAGAGTAAGAAAGAAATATTCTTTATACTGTTACTTAATCTGACATATATTAGATACCTAAATATATGTTGAATGATAAGTTCTCAAACAAATCAAGATAGAGCCTTCTGAAGCAAATTACTATTAATTTGTTTTCATTTTCTAATTGATTTTAAAACTCACATGGAAGAAATTGTAGGAAACTTATGAAATCAAAGATAGATGTGAAGGGATTAGATATCAAAAACATAACAATAGACAAAAGTGGGAGGAGTGAATATAAAATATCTAGTCATCTCAAAGATGTACACAGAAATTTAGTATTTGTAAAGGGAATATTTTAAATCATTGAAGAAGCTACATTATTCAGCAAATAATGTTGAAAACTTAGAGATAGATTTAAATATAATAAAATCATATTTCCACTTGATATTAATCTCAAAAATAAACTTATAATAATTAAACATCTATATATAAGAAGCGAAGCAGAAAACTGAGAGAAAAGATAAATTGTATACATTCTTCTGGACAAAAAAGTTGACTGTAAGGAAAATCAATTCTAGGGTCTTCTTATTAACATGATCTTTTCCAACAAGCATGAATTCTAATGCTGGCCTATTATTTTAAAGTCATTCACCTCTGTGATGTGACAGAAATTCTTTCACTCATCAATGACCTGATAGGACATTTTATTTATTTATGTATTTTGGTCTTTTAAATTTTATAAAATTTAATTATTCATTTTCTTACATCATTGTTCATTTTTGGAAATTATCTGATTTCTCCCCTTGGGAGTAACCCCCATAGTTTCACCGCCAATTCACCTGTGCACCATCACGTAGTCCCTTGTGCTCTTTCCTCCCTTGTTTTTACCTCCCCCTCACCCCCTCCACTGCTGTAGTCTGCAGATCAATGGCCAGCTTGCAAGTTTTCTCATTTCTGCAACCCTTTGCTCAATTTCTCTATATCCCACATGTAAGCGACGCCATCAGATATTTATCTTTTTCCTTGTGAATTATTTCCCTGAGCATAATTCCTTCCATCTCCACCCATGCTGCAGTAAATGGCAAAGTGTGATAGGAACATTTTAATATGTAGACAAGACTGGTACTATTAGTAAGAAGTAGAATTTTAATATTCCAATAATAGTATTCAGTTCACCACAGATAAACACCCAATTCTTTGGTATCATTTGTGTATTTATTGGAATGTAGATGCAGTTTCTGTACAACTGAGGGTCAAAGAAGGGCCTGGCTGATGTGGAGCATCATCCTGAGCTCCTGACAATCCCCTCTGAAATGTCAGGGTGAAGACTGGGCTCTCATTGACAGCTCCTGTCCTGCTCCTTGTCTGTTTACTGGAAATCAGTCTTACTGACTTGACCTGAAAAAATGTCAGGAAAAATTTCTAAAAATTTGCTGAAGTAGGTTAAATGGCAAGGGTAAAAAAAAAAAAAAAAAAAAAAAAAACAGTTTTACCAAGGGCCACTGAAGTTGGATTAATCCATTTAACCTAACCCCACACAATCCTAAAGAACCTACATAAGGAAAACTGAAGGTAACAAAACCCCCTTTATTTGCAATGTTGCCTTGTAGAGAACTGGGCTCAGATCTGGGTCATAAATTTGAAGAGATGCAGACACACTGTTACTTCAATCAGAAAGATCAAAGGCACCCAGACCCACACCAAACAATGGCTCTTTCATTGATAAAGATCAATGTGTTTAAAGAGATGTAAATAATATTGAAGATCTGCAGGGACTTTGTCCTTATTTTAGGCCAGAGAAGCAGAAACCAGGGACATTCTGTCACAAGAACCACAGTGTCAAGGTCACAGAATTGGCGCACACTCTGGCCTCCAGACATAGCTTCTTTGGTAACTGTTATTTTTTTTAAAGATTTATTTATTTATACAAGAACCGGGGTACAGGCCAGATGTGCGGGAGGGTGAGAGGATTCACCAGAGACAGAGTGGGGAACAGAACAGGCAGACTGACTGAAACACACTGCTGAGGGGAGCAGCGGGCAAGACAGGAGAGGTCTGCCCCGCCATGTGGGACCCTCACCAGCCAGCCGGGATGGAACTGGCGCTGCAGAGGCTGCCGACAGCTTCACAGCGCTGCGCTCAACACCTGCGCCAACAGGGAGGCCCTTTGGTAACTATTTTATGCTCCTGACTGCAGCTCCATATCCCAGCTTCCTGCACAACAGCTCATGTTCCTTCAGGCACAGCATTTAGTTATGTCTGACCCTCTCTCCTTGGTGCTTCACCCCTCCTATCCTCTCACATGGGTGAGAGGATTTCAATGTAGCACATGTGCAAGGGAGACATCAACTGAGTCATAGGTGGGATCTCTGGAGCCAATCTCCAGGAATCTGTTCTTTCTGCCCAAACCTGAGTCTGGAGAGCCCCAATTTTCTACATCTCAGCTTCTTCTTGGGGCTGTTTCGGTCAGAGGATGTTTCTCTCTCACTGTTATAGCCTTTGGACTTGGTTTTCTCTAGGGAAGCAAGAGAGCAATGATAACGAAATTGGTTTTCATCACTTTTCTTTCTTCATTCCTTCCACTCAGTAAAGAGTTCCTCCTCTGTCCTCCCTGCAGCTGTGACTCATCTGCATCCAAACCAACTCTCAGGGCCCCTGACCAGCAGCCTCACCTGCCTCTGAACCTTCCAGGTTCTCATCCATCCTCCAGGCTCTGACTCCTCTATTGGAAGAAAGAAAACCCAGGGTGCCTGAGATGTGGGAAATGTCTCCACAGGATTGGTATTTGCCCATCAGGGAACCACAAAGGTTGAGGTATCTTCCTTGAAGACCAAACTAAATCTCTACCCTTGGGACAATGGGGCTTCCCCTCACCTTGGAAAGCCAAAGGTGGTCATGGAGACCTTCCTGTCAAGGGCAGCAAAGGGTAAGGAGAGAGGTTTACAGGGGATAATGAAGTGAGGCAAGACTGAGACTTTTATTGGGAAATGATGAAAATGAAGACAGAGGGGAGCTTCAGAGGAGGCATCTCCAAACAGCACAAGTTGCTAAATGAGTAGAGACAGGCGATATTGAGATGCCCCTTCATATTATTTGATTCAAAATACAATTGTCATTTTAGAGTTGCCATTCAAGAAAATTTTCTAAGTGCTGGGAATGTGAATTATAAAAAATCAATGTTCTATGGATGGAGCTAGAAGGGATCATGCTCAGCGAAATAAGTCAGAAAGAAAAAGAAAAATACCGGATGATGTCACTTATAGCAGGAATTTAGAAAACCTAAACAAGGGACCAATTAAAAGACTAATAAATGGGCCTCCCCTGGTGGCGCAGGCGGTTGAGTGCCGCGCTGTGAAGCTGTCCGCAGCCTCTGCAGTTCCAGTTTGATCCTGGCTGGCCGGCGAGGGTCCCACATGGCGCAGCAGATCTCTCCTGTCGCGCCCGCTGCTCCCCTTAGCAGTGTATTTCGTCAGTCTGCCTGTTCTGTTCCCTGCTCTGTCTCTGGTGAATCCTCTCACCCTCCCGCACATCCGGTCTGTGCACTGGTTCTTGTATAAATAAATTAATTAATTAAAAAAAAGACTAATTAATTCAAAGTAAAAATCAAAATCAACAAGCAACTATAAACCAGAGACACACTATGGGGGAGGTGGGGGTTGTAGGTGGGTGGGGTGGGGAGAGGAAGGACTAGGGTCAAAATAAGGGGGGGGGTGCAATTGTATGGGGAATGTAACCAAAATGAAAATGCATACATTGTGCAAAAGTGAAAAATTATGTAAGAATTATATAAAATAAAAAATATTACAAAATGAAAAAAAAAATCAATGTTCTTCTCTTTGCAGGTGATAACTTCTAGTAGAGGAAAAGTAACCAATAGACAGTTCTAAGTCTTTTGTAAAGATTAGAAGACACTGGGACAGCATAGTACAAGGGGAACTGCTGCTTCAAAAGGCAATTTATTGGGCCTCCCCAGTGGCGCAGCGGTTGAGCGCTGGGTTGCGAAGCTGCCCGCGGCCTCTGCGGCGCCAGTTCGATCCCCAGCTGCTCCCCGGCCACCAGTGGAGGGTCCCACATGGCACGCAGACCTCTCCTGCTGCCCGCTGCTCCCCTCAGCAGTGTACTTCGGTCCTTCTGCCTGCTCTGCTTCCCGCTCTGGCTCTGGTGAATTCTCTGTCCCGCGCTTCTGAATGTACCCAGTGCATGTATAAACAAACAAACAAAACTAAATAAATAAATAAATAAATAAATAAATAAATAAAAACATGCCTCTATTAAAAAAAAGATTTATAAAAAAGAAAAAAGGCAATTTATTTACATGAATCAAGCCCACCTCAGGCAAAATGAAAGTTGTGGCCAGATATGTCCTTGTCTGGCTACTTGCTGTAAAGCACCCTGTGCCTTCAGGCATGGATGGCAGCTCCTCACATCCCTGAATGTTCAGTGCTGCTCAGGGAATCCTGCGTGTCCTCTCAGTTCTCCTGACCCTCCCCCTCCCTTCCATATTCTATAAACTGCTTCCTCATCTTTGAAAATTATGATTGTCCCCTCAGTCCCATTCTTCTCAAATCCCCCAATGCAATTAATTTTGAAACCATCAAATAAAATAAATCTATGATATTTTTCCATAAAACACAAAAATTAACATTTTATTGCCTCTAGTATTGACTCTTCAGTGCATGGCTAAGTGTGCTTCCAAAGTTAAAGTTTACACAAAATTTTGAAAGAAAAGAGTGTAATTTCCAGTAGCAATGAGTGATGATCTGTGACACCAAGTATTTCCTCTACAGCATTTTGGCTATACTGGCCAAAGAACTATGAATATTTATGCTTATGTTTAGAAAGAATACATTATATGTGCTCTGCTCTTACTAACCCAATGCTAAACCACACTCACACTATCCATATGGAAACTATTAACCACGGAAAGTGCATCCTCATTCTGTTCCTCCCACTAATAGTCTCACGCTACAAGAGGAGTTTGTGTGGGGATTTATGTATGTTTACTCTTACAAAAAGTAAATTATAAAAGAATCATGAAGATTAATCAGGATAATAGAATAAGTTAATTTGTCAGGTAAGATCAGTAAAGAAGAAAGGATTAGCAATTTCGTTAGGAGTAAAAAACACTCATCAGTCACAGAAGATTTGTGCCCTTGGAACTGTGGAGAAATGGAATGTGTCTCAGAACTCTCTGGCCCATCTATCTCTGCTGTCCCAACAGATACCAGCCTCCTAGGAAATTTCCATTCCCTCCTAGCAAGGAAAATGTACTGACCATACCTGAGCAGATGACTCCTGCATCCTCGGAATGACGGCAGTTGTGTTCCCCCCAGCCCTGAGACGGGCAATTCCACACGTGGGATTCCTTTCCTGTGCACTGCAGCTCATCCAGCCAGATGCTCCCTGATCCCTTCCCGAAGTGAGCAGAGACCATGGCATTGAGGGCGTCTCCACAGCCCAGCTGTCTGCACACCACGTGGGCATCACGCAGATCCCAGCTGTCATCACAGATGGTGCCCCAGGAGCCCTGGTGAAGGATCTCCACTCTGCCGGCGCAGGGATGGCCTCCGTCCACCAGGCGGAGCTGTGTGCTGTCTGAGGAGAGAGAGTAGGGCCAATGGGGCATCTCATTGGGAAGGAGAAGGCTTTCCTGGTCCTGGGGGACCTTCACCTAAACAGTTGGCAGCGTCCTCCGCTAAGGCTGCAGAGCCTGCTGGTGGAGACAGTGCTTGCACTCAGGCAGCACCTGGTTTCTTACAGCAGGTACCAGAGCAATAAAGGTGAAAATAGGAAAGAACAGGAGAAATGTAGCTGAAAACAACTAGTGAGCAGTCTGAGAGAGCAGGTGTGACCAGGTCCTGTCAGAGTAACCCTGATGTAGAGTCTGCTGGCATCTGAGATGTCCAGAGATGTCAGAATCCCTGCCCTGAGCAGTTAAATTAGTGCAGAGTGGCTGTAAAGGACTACTAGCTGGTGGGTTCCTTATAAATCACACCCACTTCCTGGTAATCAAATTAAAGGGAACTTTTGTGAGCTTATCAGAATACTCATAGACAGCCATGAAACCCGTTCCAGTGACAGCTTTGCTTGGTATAGTCACTCGCAGCTGGAAATTGAATGGATCATGAGACAGGCCATGATTTACCCAGAGTATTTCATTTATGGTTCTAGGCTCCAGAATGAACTTCTCTTTGAGTAGTCGGGGCCACCTCACTTGAGAGATGATGTCAGATGAAACTAACATTGGCCAGAGACACTGGGCATCAAACATCTGCTTCCTCCTCAAAACAATATAATGTCTACTTGACTTCATGTCAGGGATTTTCTTTATTTAAAATTTGGAATTATTCATTTTGTAGGGGAAAGTATCTCTAATCCCACCACACAGCAGAAACAGGTTATATTCCTGAGCTGAAAACATTCAAGCAGTTGTGACAGATTCTCTGTATTATTATTTTCTCCTTTTGATAAATGAAAAAAGTGATACACCCAGAGGTTAAATAATGTGTCAATATTGCAATTTAAGTAAATGATGAAATAGAGATAAAAGCTAGAGCTTCTGCTAAAATAAATAATGGAGGAGTTGTAGGTTTTAACTCCATTCCATGACTGAATTAAAGTAAGTGCTGGTGCTGGAGGGTGAAATAGGAGACTTGAAGGCCATGTCCCTAGAGAAGGTCATCTCACAAATATTTGCCCAGTGCATGTGTTGTGAGGGCAGGAGGCCAAAGCATGTCAAAACTCTTGGAAAGCAGAGTGGCTATTCCTTTATTCTTTTGGTGCTGAGCTACCAAAATATCTAGCCTTACATCTGAATTCTGAGTTCCCAGAATGCCCTTTCCACAGGCATAGAGATAAGCAGAGATAGACTGAGTGTCACCCAAACTTCCAGTGAGGCTTGTTCCAGCTCAGGTCTGGGTTACAGTTCGATATCTGGGTGCTCAGCAGCCCCTGCCTCACCTGCCTAGCTGAACAAAAGATGATGCTTCCAAGTGTCAGAAAATATATCTGGTGTTTCCTATTTTTTCATACACAAATTTTAACATTAAATATAAAGTTACATGGCACATAGAAAGATGGGCCCACATGACATAGTGAAAAAGAAAACAATATAAGAGAAGTTAGAAACACACACAATAAATACGTTGAAGTTAGCAGATAAGAGTTTTAACTATGATTCATGGATTCAGTGAGTAAGAGGAAAAAGACAAGAAACAGTTCAAAAGAAAAGAATTTAACATAGAAATGCAAATATATTGAAGATATCAAAATAACAGTTGCCAACTAAAAACAAAACATCAATGGGTAAGAGGTGAATGAATTAGTTTAAAACAATTTTATAGAACTCAAGACAGAATTGTGAATTAGAGGAGTCCTAGAGAGGAGGGAAGATGAAATGAGGAGAAGGGAGAGGAGGACAGACAGAGACAGAGAACAGTGAAGTTGTATTTGAAGAGATAATGGTTGAGAATTTAAAAACATGTATGAAAGCTATGACTCACATTTTCAGGAATCTCAGAGAATACCAGGGAAGATATGAAATCCCCAACACCTTGTAAAGCTGATAAAAATCAAAGCAAAAGAGGAATATTATTGTTTAATGAAAAAATAAGACCTAAAATTGGAGAGAAAGGGCATGTAAAGCACGTGAGTCAATTAAAAGTAAGTGGTAGATACTCACTCAACCATATCAGCAACTGCATTTAAAGTAAATGGATCAGATACTTCAATTAAAAGCAAATCAAGATAAAACAAAGCAATTCAAGTGAATGTTACCTGTCTATCAGAAAAAGGCAAAGAAAGTTGAGAATAAAATGATGGGAAAATATATATACTATGGAAACATTGTTAAAACACACATTGATGAATGTCCTATAGACCAGATGAAAGTTGTAGGTGACTGGGAAGACAAATTTAAAATATTCCCATGACTCTCTTCTATGAGACAAGCCTTTATTAAAGTAGTGACTTCACATTCAGAAAGGATGACAGAGAGCGGCAGGTCCTGACTGCGTGTGCCGAGCTCAGGGGAGAGTCAGTGCTCTTTGGCACCTGATACCAGGACTGCAATTAAACAAGGAGATGGGGCAACTCGTGTGAGCCTGTACTTGAGTCATATGCTCTTTTTTTTTTTTATTTATTTATTTTTATACAGGCCAGATGCACAGGAGGGTGAGAGGATTCACTGGAGACAGAGAGGGGAACAGAACAGGCAGACTGACGAAATACACTGCTGAGGGGAGCAGCGGGCGAAACAGGAGAGGTCTGCCGTGCCATGTGGGATTCTCCCTGGCTGGCCGAACTGCGTTGCAGAGGCTGCGAACAGCTTCACAGTGCGGCGCTAAACCGCCTGCGCCACCAGGGAGGCCCTTGAGTCATATGCTCTTAACAGATATTGTCTCTGAGGAGAAATCATGCTTGTCAGAGTGAAGTGTGATTTCTTCTTGGTAAATGAACTCATTGCTTTCACAGCTGGAGAGGCCAAATGGAATCAGCACCAATTTTATATTTCATTTTCAGAGTGCACTTCTACCCCTAAGAACCTCAAAGCCTGCAAGGGACACCTGTCCTCACAAAGGGTCAGTCATCAGGAATAGAAGTTTCAAGAAATATAAATGAGGATCAGACTCCTATTGAGAGGAGAATTTCCCAAAGAAGAGAGAGAGAGATTTCTGAGTGGAGGGGCTTGAAATCAGGAGGAAACAAGGGATCAGAAAGGGGTGGAGAGGAAGGAGCATCTAGAGCAGCCAGGCCCAAGGCACATACCTGAAAGACTGGCTGACCAGGATGTGCTAGATCATTGTCAAGTCAGGGCTCAACACTGTTATCTTGGACTCAGCTGTCAGGGGCCCAGAGATGAGCAGATGTCATGTAGGTTCTGGGGGGACTACAGGGAGAAAACCCATCTAAGGACATTCACAAGCTCAGGGCTCTTCCTCAACAGCAGACCCTTAAGATCAGAATGGGGGGGGGCTGCAATTGTATGGGGAATATAAAAATAAAATTTATTATTTAAATTAAAATAAATAAAGAAATAAAGAAATAAAAGAATGTGAAAAGACAATTAAAAAAAAAAAAAGATGCCACAGACACGAAAGAGATCCCACTGGGACGGGGAACACTTGCCCAGAGGGACCCATCCTGGTCTCACAGGCCACATTCCTCTGCCTGCAGTGCTTATCTCAGTCCCCCCAGGGACACCTACATTTACATCACCCCCCCCTGGGGTGAAAGACCATGGAGTCAACATGTAGAAAGGGAAACACCACAGGCAGGGAGACAGAGTACTGCCAGCACCCAGTTTTGGGGGATGACAGTAAAGCAGAAAAACTTTTGAGCTGTGGGTTTGTGGGGAAGAAAAAAGCAAGGTACAGGCAGGTTTGGATTGCAGGTACAGGGCTATCTGGGGGGGGGTAATTAAAGTTTCTATTGGGAGGGTTTTCTTTAAAGGTATCCATATCTGCCCTCATCACAGACATGTACACACACATCACCACTATCACTTCACCACAAATCCAGCCATCTGCCTTAGAGTGTGATTCTGTGGACCCCTTTCTAGAAAGCTGACGTGCCTGGCAGACACGCTCCTGCTCATACATTCACCCTTCATATGCTCTTCAAACTTCCCTTATACACACCTGTCTCTGTCTGTCTCTCTCTTGCTCTCTTTGTCTCATCCTTATGCTAACAGAGCAGAAACGCAAAATCCTGTTGTGGAGCAATCCTGTTGGGGAGATTCAGTACTGGGTGCAGGAAGGAATCTGAGAGATGCAGCCTCAGGATGTCACTCAGTCATAATCCATTAGAGGAAAACTGGGAAGTCATCAAATATTTTCATTATTTTGAAATGTTATTGAGGAGGACTGAACACAGATTCTGGTCAATCTGAGAACAAGCATTGAATATGGCCAACATCTCACAGCCAAACTAGAAAAGCAGAGGCCCCTCAGGGAAAAAATGAACATTCACTGTCACTAAAGATCACATTTGGTCAAAACCAAGGGGTCAGAGAGAAGTTGCCTTGGCAATCCAGGGCTCACCCCCCAGAGTCTGAGAACTGATCCAGTGTCTCTGCTGATCTTAGGAAGTGAGGCTCTGCTTACCTTGGGCGCTCGCTAGGATAGCGGAGAGGAGAAAGCCAAGTCCTGTGAGAAAGAAGTGTCCATTCAAGGTAGTTCCGAGCCTCATGTTATCAGGTAACAGCCTCAGTTTCCCCAAATATACAAAGAAACCCCTCAGTCCTTATTGGGGGCTCCCTCTCATAGCAGGAGTTTATATAGTCCCACCCCCTGACTTTGCCATCTTCCAGAGCCAATAGAAACCCTGTTAAACATCGTCCCTGCATCAAACACTCCATAAACGGAAACTTTCTGAGGCTCAACCAATTAGATGCTCTATCTGAGATGTCTCCTTATACGAGAGGAGAGGTTTTCTGACACCAGGTGTCATCTGGCCCCACAGCGGACACAGAAAAGCTGAATTAGTGAAAGATGCGTGACCGACTCTCCCCCCCGGGTCTGGTTCAGTGACTGGTTCAGCTCAGCTGGGAGGGGTCAGGTGGTGCTGATGTTTCTGGGTCAGCTCCACCACCCCTGGGCCCACGTAAAGAGGACTGTTTTAATGAACCTACATCTCCTGAGTCAAGTGCCCAACAAGTTGTGGCTACAAAGAAACAAGAAGAATCTACGGTGAGAACAAAAAGTCAGATGAGTAGGAAACTGGTTTAGAATGAAAAGTTCCGGACCTCCCCTGGTGGCGCAGTGGTTGAGTGCTGGGCTGCGAAGCTGCCCACAGCCTCTGCAGCACAGACGCAACAGACCTTTCCTGCAGTACCCGCTGCTCCCCTCAGCAGTGTATTTCGCCTGTTCTGTTCCCCGCTCTGGCTCTGGTGAATCTCTCACACTCCTGCGCTTCTGACTATACCCAGTGCTTATATAAATAAATAAATAAATCTTTACAAAAAAATAGAATGAAAAGTTCTTTGGGGAAAAACATTGAGATTGGCATTAAGGGAACACAATCACTATCCTTATAGGGTGGGAGGGTCCCCTTTTTCTACTTCTAGTTTGTAAAGAAAGCCTCATAATATATGGGGTTTCAGATGCAACTGGTATAAAGTCTGTCTTTCCTTCCGTCACATATTTACCCCTCAAAACTAACATGACCAGTACAGACACCTCACCAGTGCTGGGAGCCATGCTACTCATGTTGTCTGACAGAGGTCTGGGCATGGGGCAGATTCCTGAAAAGTCAGGAATCTCGTTAGCTGACTCCTGCAGATTCTTCTTATTTGTTTATGGCTAGTTTCTACCATGGTTAATATACGCTTTTAAAAGTAAAACTGCAAATGCTGCTTGATCAATTACTGAATAACCAATTTGATGGCAAATGGCACTGCGTGATACAAATACTACATTTTTTATAAAATTAGTAATCCTCTACCAAAAGGCAGTAATTCAACATTTGGCCTCACATTAGCAAGTGAAAAACTTCTGGGAACAAAAGGCTGTAAACATCCCTAGGCCAAGTCTTTAATATGGATATGTGGTCTTTTGAGGTGAGGGCTAAATGAAGAAGAAAATTCTTTTACTTTGAAGTTAAAGATAGCAGTTGGGTGGCAGACATGAGCCGTGCACCAAGTGTAAGAAAATTCCTGATACCAGGAGGCGCCATAGACGGCTCCTGCTAAATTCTTCTTGTTTGTTTAGGGCTGATTCTCCTGGAGGTGACAATTGGTATGGTAGCTGTTAGAGTGTGCATTCAAGAATAAGTCAGCAACAATTTTGTGACTGGTTGAGCTAATAACCATGGCAGCACAAATAATGCACTTGGAAACAGTCTATGTTACAACTACTGATATGTCAGATATTAACCATTCTGGAAACCAAAAGCTATAACCATCTCCTGCCCAGCCTCCAATAAAATATTTGTAGTTCTTTAAACAACAATCAGCAATCTTACAGAAAAAGGAATTTTCGCTTGATCTTAAAGTTAGATGCGGTAACTAGGCTGACGAGATAAGTATAGGAATAATAGGTAGAAAAACTCTTTTGTGAAATTAGGAGAATTCCTCCCTTAATTGAGAGCTTGGGGCTAGGGAAAAGTCAATGCAGCTTCCCTCCCCCAGATAACTTCTTGTCCTTTGCTTCTCCTTGTCCTTAGTTAATTGTTTACCATGGTAAGCACAGAAATGTTAGTTTCAATCACATAAGTTTTTTACTAGTAATAGAATGATTGTTTGGTTGTTTAAGGTAAATGACTATTCTAAGAACACTTTTGTTTAGCAACTGTGCCTTCTTTAAAACAAAGAATAATAAATGTCACGACCTCTGCAGGAGGGCAAATTGACCCTTGGCTGTTCTTGAAAAAGATGTGATGATTGTTATCTTCCTGCCTTAATGCATAAGCTTATGCACTCTCACGGTTGGCTTGAAATGTATAAATACAGAGCTGCTGAGACCCTCAGCAGGATGATGTCTGCACCCTGACCAAGTGTTTGCGTCTCCTCACTCCCCCTCCCCCTCATTTCCACAATTGTACCAACTCCATCCCATCTTTGAGGAACCCCTGACACCCAGGCTGCTGTGGCTGGCTCGCACTTAACACACCAGGAATAAACTATACTTCCCTGGGACACGGTGGGTCTATACATATAACATAACTACAAAATTCACCCCCATTTCACAATGTGGCAATCTGCATCTGGCAGCCCAGTCTGTAATGGTTAGTAAAAGCATGCCCTTCTGCTCCACGGTCCTCATTATGGACATTTCAATCCCTCTGCCTCCCCTTCCTCCTTTCATTTTCATATGAGCCTCTTATTCAACTTCCATATTCTCATCTGGCCACCTTGAGGCCAAATAAGATGGTGTCATTACAGTGCTTGGAAATGGAAACCTTTGGACACAAATTGCTTGAACTCATCCTTGCTGACAACAAAACAGCCTTTATCATTTTATCAAATTAACAATTTCTTTATTAAAATACAAATGACAAGTGGACCTCCCTGGAGGGTCAAGGGGTTAAGCACAGACTGTGAAGCTGTCCACAGCCTCTGCAGCATGAGTTTGATCCTCGGCGGACCAGGGAGCTAACCACGTGGCGCAGCAGACCTCTCCTACCTCGCCTGCTGCTCCCCTCAGCAGTGTTTTTAGTCAGTCTGTCTGTTCTGTTCACTACTCTGCCTCTGGTGAGTTCCTCTCACACCCGCACCTCTGGCCTGTACCCATTTCTTGTATGCATAAATAAATAAATCTTTAAAAAATAAATATAAATGACAAATGTCACTGTGTCTATTTAAGGTGTGTACTGATGTTAGGGGGAAAAGGATGTCCTAAAGCTAATTCCATACAGGCTTTGTGGACTCCACCCCCCACCCCAGACCAAAGCCAAAAGACACTGGGAACTCCAAATCCCATCACCACCAAAGTGAAGTTGGCTGGGACCTGAGGGTGGGGTTAAGCAGCCAGGTTTGCTATAAAGCCGGACACGTGGGCTTTGGAGGGGGGGGGGGTCCCCCATTTTGGCTCTCCGCCAGCTCGCAGTGTCCGGCCAGCTCTGAGAATGCCTTTGGGTTTCCAGGTCGGCGGATCGGGTAGGATGCATTAAAGACTTTATTTCCCTATTTTCTCCCTGAGTTGTACATTTTCTTAATTCCCTTTCCCTTGTAAATAAACCTTTTATTAACCTTTTGTGTGTGCCTCTAGTGGAGTATTAGTAAGTCCCTTTTAAGCACGTGGGTGAGGACCCACAACCACGCAAACCATTTTATATCGGGGTTGCCCTATAACATTGATACGCTTATACATGCATCATGTATGTATATATTTATGGATTTATACATATATGTGTATAACATATGGGGGTGACTATTACCATGTATTACTTAACACTATATCATGTCCCATGATTATTATGTTTTTTGTGGTAGAACTGTTATAGGGCAGCCCCAATACAAAACAGGGTGCCTGACTGTGGGTCCTCACCTGTGCGCTTAAAAGGACTTATCAATGCTCTACTGCAGGCACACGTGAAAGGTTAATAAAAGGTTTATTTACAAGGGAAGGGAAAATGAGGAAATGTACAGCTCAGGGAGAAAAGTGGGAGACACCGTTTTAAATGAGTCCTACCCGATCTGCCGATCTGGAGTCCCAAATGGCACTCTGAGAGCTGGCCGCAAGCCAGGAGCCGTGAAGCCAGGAGGTGAGCGACAGCAAGCCACCCCAAGGCCCAGGTGTTTGGTTTTTATATCCAACCTGGCTGCTTAACTCCACCCTCAGGTCCCAGCCACCTTCCCTTTGGTGGTAACGGGATTTGTCTTTCCCAATGTCTTGATGGTTTTGGTCTGGAGTGGGGGTGGAGTCCACAAAGCCTGCATGGGATTAGCTCAGGACATCCTTCCCACCTAACAGAACAACTAAGATCTAGTTTCAGAGCAACCTTGAAATTTATAGTATAGTGTTGTTGTCCATAATCTCCACACTGTGCATTAGATCTCTTGGACTTATTCATCTAGTACTTATAATTCCTTATCCTTAAAAAGCATCTCTCCAATAACCCATCCCCATCCCCTGGTAATCTCTACACTTTATTTGAGTTCAGTCACTGTTAGATTCCACATACTGGTGATATCATATTCGATCTGTCTTTCTCTGTCTAGCGTATCTCAATTAGCAAAAACCCTCCCACAACACTGCCGCAGGAAACTAGACCCAGGTGCTTCCCCTATGCACCCACTATGTGATTCTACCAGCAGGCTCTGCAGCCTCAGAAGAGGACGCTGCCAACTGCTCAGGTGATGGGCCCCCAGCACCATGAAAGCCTTCTTCTGCATTAGACGACCCATTGGCCTGACTCTCCCTCCTCAGACAACACACAGGTCCCCCTGGTGGGCGGAGGCCATCCTGTATCAGCAGAGTGGAGATCCTTCACCAGGGCTCCTGGGACACCCTGTGTGATGATGGCTGGGACCTGCCTGATGCCCACGTGGTGTGCAGACAGATGGGCTATGGAGAGGCCCTCAGTGCCACAGTCACTGTTCACTTTGGAAGGGAACAGGGTCCATCTGGCTGAATGAGGTGAGGTGCAGAGGTGCTTGTTCCTGTGGGCCTGGGAAGACCTGGAGGCAGAGTGATTATAAACAGGAGGCCTGCAAAACACTATCTTAAAAAAAATAACATCTGGGAAACATAATCTGACTATTTTAGTAATCTGACTACAAAGTCTTAATCAGGAAATATGGAAATTCGGATATTTTGCTGGCTTATGCAATGAAAATGAAATATTTGGCCTAGAAAAAATATCTGTAGAACATAGAGTGAATGGATCCTCTATTTAGGAACCATCAGACTCTCAGGTGAAAAGATACAGTTCCCAGTTGTTCCCTGGGGAGAAAGGGGACCCTGCATATGATGATGTTGAATGACCATCCCCAGAGCATCCCACAGTGCTGTTTCCATGATGTTTTTTAACACTGAGATGAGGTTACAGATGTTCTAATTGCCTATTTTCTGATAGAGCAGTAATGGCCTGTATTTGTTTGTAGATATTGCTCAAAATTAAACATTCTGTAGAAAGCATTTGATTTGTTGCCAATTTAGTAAGTTTCACTCTAATTGCTCTTACACAATTGGTCCTCAAACACACTTTTCTTCAAGGAAATAGATGAGTGAACTGATTGTTTTCTCACCTCCTCACAGGCCACTCGAGGTTTACTTTGCCCAGATTCACGAATGCTCCAGGTGTCACTTCCTTAGACAAGGGACTCTAACTTGGTCCCTTCCTCCAAAAGAACCTGATGTGTTTAGGGAAAACCGACAGACTCCATATGCTGGTCCCGAAAATGACTATAAATAAATAGTTAAGGAGGCTGAAGAAAGAAGCTGAGCTCCACATGTGGGCAGTTCCTATGACTCAGCTCAGGGCTTTGTAATTCTAATGTAGCTAGTGTCTTCCAATTTTCGATTTAAGGTAGTGCTTGTGGAGCATTTGAAAAAAATAATTGTACATGTAATTGGTGCATTTTGGAAGTTTCCCATTATGTCATGGACATCTTTGGTAGTACATATCCTTTTTCCCAAAGTAGTTGTTTTACAAAGACCATAAAACCTTGGTGAAATCTTCTGAAGTTAGAATGCTGTAAATGTTCACTGCATTTATCTGCAGATGACTTATTATAAAATGTCATGTAGTGGATAATGAACCAGAAGTGTTTCCAACAGAAGAATTTCATTGTTTGACTTGCCTGCTTGTCTCCCTCTAGCCATCCCTCTGCTCCACACCCCAATTCTCTCTCTCTTGTTACAACTGAAGGAAATAGGTGTGGATGATTGGAAATGAATGGGAAAAAAGAAGTTACTTCAAAAGAGTTTGTAATGGTGAAGTTTGATTACCATGGTCTTAAATAAATGTAGTCAGAGCAGGAAATAGAATGTTGTTCATGGAAAAGGGTAAAAACCATCAGGATTTATGAACACCAGGATGTGCAATTTCATGGAGAAAGGGCAGATTGGGGATGTTGGAGAATAACAAGGGAAGAGAAGGGCATTGTAGGGAGATTTTTGACATTGATGTTCCATAAGCCTGTTGGCAAAATTAGAAGAGCTGCAACCATTTCCCTCCTGCCTACTCACCCATTCACTGTGACTCATTTCTGGGTTTTAGCAAAGGAGGGGCGGCATTTTTTGGAACATTAAGTGAAGTGCTTCCAAGTGTATATTACTGAGTAAATACTTAGTTCAGGGCCAGATTTCAGGTTTTTATACTGTTCCATACAGTGTGACATTCTCTGCACATAAGGGAGGCAAGAGTGTAGGATGAGGGCCGTGATACACGGATATATCAATGAAGATTTCACAGGAGGGTGGGATGTGATTGGAGACTGAATTTTCCAAAGTCAGTGGGGTCAATGTATCTGGATTATTAAAAACATTTGTCCTTGATGCTCAGGGTCTAATTATGAAGATTGTCCTTTCATCACAGGCCCAAATAAAACCTCTGCAGTAATGAAGAAGACAGAATTTTCATTTATTGGGGAAACAATATTACAGAAGAGTCATTGAAGATTTATTTGATCCAAAAGTGGTACTACGCAGTGCTAAGCTCGACATCATCATAGCCATGGTCTTCTTGTCTCGGAACCAATGGGAGTCCTCTCTCTCCCATGCCAGAGATGACAGCTCCTCGAGGAGACCACTGAGAGAGGGCTGCAAGGTAAAGAATATCTGGTTTCAGTGGTGACAATAAAAGAATTCTTTGGTAGAAGTAGATGAGTGCACCAAGACTACAGAGTATCTGTGAGACCCAGTGTAGGGTAAGTGTAAAGGCAGGACAGGCCACAGTGCAGGTTTTCTGATCCCATGCAGACCAGGTAAAGGAGGAGTCAGAGTCCTCAGTGGTTTTTTGCAGGTCTTTTATTGGGGTTCACCAGGCATATGGCAGGCAGGGGTGCTGGCTGGGGGGCTGGCAGGCCTCCCAGCCCCCAGCAAGTCTTCACTCTATCTGAGCTCTCTGGAGTTCATTCTGCTGCTTCTCGGCTTCTCTTTCGGCTTCGGCTTTGGCTTCGGCTTCTATTGCTGCTGCTGGCGTCCCCATGACGCCGCCCTTAAAAGCACAGTCTTAGCCCAGGTGAATCCCATCTACCTATGCCCACACCCTATTCCAGGTGCCCGCCATCAGGCATGCATTCAGGACAAGGATCCATCATCTATCCTGATGGCGGAAGGGCAGAAAAGCCTGATATTTTCTTTACCCTACAGTAAGGAAAAATGTCAGGCTTTTCTGCCCTCCTGCCATCAGGATAGATGATGGATTCTTGCAGTCCTGAACGCATGCCTGATGGCGGGCACCTGGAATAGGGTGTGGGACTATGTAGATGGGATTCACCTGGGCTAAGACTGGGCTTTTAAGGGCGACATCATGGGAACACCAGCAGAAGACAAGAACAAGAAGAAGCCAAGAGAGAAGCAGAGAATGCCGGAGAACCCAGATAGAGTGAAGACTTGCTGGGGGCTGGGAGGCCTGCCAGCCTCCCGGCCCCCCAGCATCCCTGCCTGCTGTGTACCGGGTAAATCCCAATAAAAGCCTGCAAAAAGCCACTGAGGACTCTGACTCCTCCTTTACCGGGTCTGCTGGATTAGAAAACCTGCTCAGTGGTCCTTCCTGACCCTACACCCAGCAACTCTCTGAAAGGCAAAAGCTGCTTCTTCCACTCAGCTACTCTGTGCAAAGTCATGTTTGGCTCTTGACAGCTGCAAGGCATTGGGGCAATAACGGTGAGGAGTGGAGAAAAAGTGAACACTCTCACACCCCTGTGGTCTGATTTCCTTAGGAATTGGGGCAGGAGATGACTCCCCTAGATTCCTCAATCTTGGGGTTGAGGAATACCACCTCAATACCAGCCCAACCCAGACCCAGAAATATTCAGGAGAACAATCTGGTCTCTCAGTCAGAGTACAAAAGGGAGAGTTCAACCACACCCCACGGCCTTCTGCTCCCCAGGCCCCAAGTGCTCACACTTAAACAGAGGCCTAGTCCTAGGAAAGTGATTTTTATCTGCCAACTGAAACAATGCAAGAAAATTATCATGTTTCATTCAATAGTTGTGATTTTATGATTCCAATTAGGGCCTTTGAACATCTTCATTAATAATAGTCAACCCCAAATTTAAACTAATTATATGATTAAACTGATTATATGGTTCCCCCAAACAAATTTTTCTAGATTTCAAATTGAATTTACACTGCTATCAGAACTTTCCACATTAATTCCTACAATCTGAAAAAGCCCCCAAATTTATTGTCAGATCATATTTCACAATTTGGAGTATGAAAAAATGATAATAAGTCTCTACTCTTCTGTAGGGTAAGGAAAAAATGTCAGGCTTTTCTGCTCTCCTGCCATCAGGATAGATGATGGATCCTTGCGGTCCTGAATGTATGCCTGATGGCGGGCACCTGGGGTAGGGTGTGGGCATAGTTAGATGGGATTCACCTGGGCTGAGACTGGGCTTTTAAGGGCGGCATCACGGGGAAGCCAAGCAGAAGCCGAGAGAGAAGTAAGAGAAGCAGAAGCCGAGAGAAGGCCGGAGAGCCCACAGAGTGAAGACCTGCTGGGGGCTGGGAGGCCTGCTAGCCTCTCGGCCCCCCAGCAACCCTGCCTGCCATATGCCTGGTGAACCCCAATAAAAGACCTGCAAAACCCCTGAGGGCTCCAGAACTCCTACTTTACCCAGTCTGCATGGGATCTTAGAGAACCTGCACTGTGTCAATTCCTGCCCTACACCTTCATACAAAAATGTCTGTATCGAGGTGATGGAGGAAATGGACATGAGAACACCGTACGTGTCTCCTCTCAGAAAAGATGAAATAGACAACATCCAAGAGACACTTTATCCGGGTCTAGAAGGCCCCAGACATTGATAGTAACGATAAACTAACTTGATAAATCCAAATTCATTCTCCCCAGACAAGGAAATGAGGCTACTGGAGACAGAGCTGACACTCACCTGGCTGGGAATTCACAGCACAACCTTCCTCTTCTGGGAAAAAATGATTCCTATTCATTCCTCGGGAAGTAGGAATTTCAGGAACAGGAAACTCTTCAGCATCATCATAACCATCTCCCGTGGCTCTGACAGGCTGTCCTGGAGGCTCTGGAAATGGACAAGGACTGAGGCTGGACTAGGGGGTTCTCGGGCCCTTCTACTGCAGAGATTCCAACAGCTAATGAGTATAAGCTCTAGAATCCAGGGCTGCCTCTGGGCCCTGAGATCAAAATATATTTCATCCAATATTTTCAGAAATTATTTGATTCTTCTAGATATTTTAGTGTACTTTCCTAACATGGCCTCTCATTCTGTAAAGCATCAAAAAGAGCTACTGTAAAATGAAGCCAGGTAGTACATTCAATCACATGCTGTGGAGCTGTAAGTATACTATGTACAAATCAGTGTCTTGTAGTGAATACTGAAAAGAGATCCCACCTTCCACATCCCTCTGAACTGTGGAAAACACAGAACAGGAAGGAGAAAGAATCTGGGTACCTCACACTCACAGACAGGAGATCCCTTGACCTGTAGCAAAGGGGTCTGGGTTTCACTTCACTGATCTAAAGATATTATGAGCTAAGGTTCCAATTGCCAGGATCCCTTTGACATGTCTAAAGTTTCATCCCAAGAGCTATCCATCACTGTTCAGGAAAGATCCAGGAGGAACATTCTCCTCTCTCAGGTCCCTTGTCAATAAGAGCTCCCAGTAGCTGTAAGTACAAGCACCAGTAGTCCATGTTTTCTTACTTTTTTTGATTTATGCATACAAGAACCAGGGTACAGGGCAGAGGTGCAAGGACTGAGAGGATTCACCAGAGAGAGAGTGGGGAACAAACATGGGGATCTACTGAAATACACTGTTGAGGGGAGCAGCGGTTGAACACAGCAGAAGAGAGGTCTGCTGTGCCATGTGGGTTAACTCCCTGGTGGGGGCTCGAATTCATGCTGCATTGGCTGCAGATAGCTTCATAATGCTGCAACTTAACCCCTGGTGCCACCAGGGAGCCCCAGCCCATGTTTTATAGGGCTTAGCAAAATCAATTTTGGGGGTCTCAGAATGTACATGACCCACCAATATCATACCATTTCCTGAGCAAACCACACTTCCCAATGCTTACCATGGAAATTTTCAGAATGTCAATTTTAGATATTACTGAAAAAATGGCCTTTGAGTCTCTAGTAATTCAATGCATGTCTGCAACTGATTAAAGTAGCTGTGGATACAGAGAACTGAGTCTGATATTTTTGATTCTGAGATGACAGAATGGAGAGAGAGCAAAAGGTTTTTGTGAAGAAGACAGAAGAGAATCCTCCCATCCTCATCACAGAAGTTCTCTTCAGATGAGATTTCTCCTTCTCATCGCCACAAACCAAGGGAAAACGTGTGTCTCTTACCTGGGGCAGATCCAGGGTCTCCCTTCTCATCATCTCTTGTATAATATGGCAACTTAGTAGCTGAGTCATCAGACAGGTTTCCTGGTGGGGGAAGAATATCACAGACAGAAAACGTTTGCCGGTGTCAAGGTTCAAAAGAAATCTTGAGGCTTCAGAGTTGCAGGGAGAGGGTTGGGAGCACCTGCCTTGGGAGGAAGCTGAGAGGTTGAGTCTATAAATGTGAAGGGAACCCATGGTCAGCTCAGGAACAGCAGGGAGGGCATGAGACCAACCTGGGCTGTCCAAAAGTTCCTCCTTTTCTGGTAGAGCATAGTTATCAATCTCCTGGTACAAGGCCTCATCTATGACATCTTCGAAAGCAGGTGAGTCTGCAGAAAATGGCACAAGTTCAGAGAAAAGTCCTGGAGACAGTCCCTATACAACAGGCAAGGCACATGGCGCTCTCCCGTGCCCATAACAGGGGGTGCCTTCTGGGCTGCCAGAGCCCCTTCCTGAGCTTTGTGAGACAGAGACAGCTTTCATGACACTGATTGTGATCCTATACTCAAATCCCAATGACATTGTTTCCATAGTAAGTCATAATTTTTGAGAGGTTTTACATTTAACCAAGGATTTAGCTTTCTCGAATCTTGAAGTCTATTGTAGAGAAGGTGCTATTTGCTAGACTGTGAGGGTGGAGAGAATACTGGGGCACTTTCCTTGGTATCATAACTGCCTCAACACCTTCCCACGAATTCCCTTTAGCATCCCCATGGCCCACCTTGGTGCTCTGCTCTCCTTCTGTGCAGCTGAATCCCCAGGATGACCAGGACCAGGAAGAGAAGGGCCCCCAAGACCATGCAGAGGACCCCGGGCAGGGAGAAGATGCCCAGGCCTGGAGCTGAGTCTGATCTGCTGGCTGAGGACAGAAGTGGATGTGAGGTTAAGAGAGGGTTGTAGGTCCATTCCCCACCCGCCCTTGTCTTGCTCATCCACTGAGTCCTCATCCATGAAGTTAGCACTCAGATCCAATGCCTGGGCCTGGACCCAAGATGTGCTCATACAGATCCTGCCCTGAGATGTGCCAGCTGTCTTCTGCATCTGTTTCTAAGGGGTTTTTATAAAGTGAACTGGATGAAGTTTTGGGGTCTTTAGAGCTGCCAGAGTTAACAGGACTGTAGTGCCTGAGCATGGGCCTTTCCTGCACTGATATGTCCAATTTTCCAGTGTTGTGTAGATGCCAGTGTGCAGAGCCCTGAAAATGAGGGTGTCACCTCTATCTATGACTCAGAGAAGAAGAGTCACTTACTTCCGAGGGTGGGGGGGATTCTTGTCCTCTCACCTGGAGAGAAGGTGAGAGAGGGGTCAACTACTGAGCTGGGTGGGAAAACCCCAGGTCATACCTACCACTCTGGCACCTTGTTCTCTCACAGCTTCCAAGGCATCAGGCAAGAGGTGCCAGTTGCCAGGCCCAGGAAGAGCCCCGAGATGCCAGCACATATGCCGTCTTCCGCCCCCAACAGGGTTGCCCACTCACCCGAGCACTTCACTCCCGCGTCCTCCTCGTGCTTGCAGTCGCTCTGCCCCCACGGAGCTGCAGCGCAGTCCCACAGGGAGGACTCCCCGCCCCTGCACCGCACCTCGTCCAGCCAGATGCTGCCATTTCCAGGGCCAAAGGCCGCCGCCCGCGGGGCGTCCAGCGCTGAGCCACAGCCCAGCTGCCTGCACACCACGTGGGCCTCGGCCAGGCTCCAGGAGTCGTCGCACACCGTGCCCCACGCCCCCGCGTGCCACACCTCCACGCGGCCCGAGCACGCGCTGTCTCCTCCCCGCAGGCGCAGCTTTTCCCTGTCTGCAAGGCCAGCAGCTCCCTGTTAGGGCCCTGCTGGAGGAGGAGACCCATAGGCTGCCGGGGAGCTAGGAGGGACTGATGTACCTGTGCAGGGGGCTGCATTAGGACAGCTCTTGGGTCTCTTTTCTGCAAAGCAAAGGAGTAATGCTGGGTCAGCCACAGGAGTTTTGCTCCCAAACTAGGTCACCTGCTTCAGTCCAAATGACAAGGGGACACACGGGCTTCTTAATTATTCTATTGGGTGAGTGGCTGGGACTCCCTGGATATTCACCCTCATCAGGAGCTGAAATTATTATACCTTTGTCTTGTCTATTACTCTCCATGTCCCACAACTAACACACACACACACACACACACACACACACACACAGAGGAAAGACCCTGCACATCTGACTCATATCTGAGCTCCTGCAGTCAGCTCAGTGCCTGTGCCGCAAGGCCTTCATTTAACACATGTGGTGTAGAAACTTCGGTAAGGGCTGGGGAGAGGAGCTTGGTCAATCTCGCTAAATGAGCAAATGACTAAAATCTAGTGAAGTGTAGTTCTTTAAATTATGATTTGTGAGTAAACTATTATAACAAGTATAAAACCGTATCAGTTGTCTGTGGTACTAAAAAGAAGGTATTTATGAAATACCTCTAGAATCACAGAAATAATTCATATTCAACTCTCCATTTATACACTTTGAAGGAAAAATTACATAACAGATCAACCAAGAAAACTGGGATTCTGATATCCTCTAAATGTGATCAGTGCAGTGAGACTCCCTGGTGGCACAAGGGGTTAAGATGCAACCTATGAAGCTATCCACAGCCACTGCAGCATGAGTTCCATCCCTTGCCAGGGAGCTACCCACATGGTGCAGCAGAGCTCTCCTGACTCTCCCACTGTTCCCCTAAGCAGTGTATTTCAGTCAATCTGCTTGTTTTGTTCCCAGCTGTCTCTGGTGAATCCTCACCCCCCCTCCCACGTCTCTGGCCTATACCCAGCTCTTATATGCATAAGTAAATAAATCTTTAAAAAAAAGTGATCAATGCAAAGAGAAAGATCTGAGACCCAAGGTCTCTGCCCTCTCAGCAGTGACAGTCAAGAGGACAAACCAATTCCTCTTTGACAGAACTGTTTCCTTGTACCTGCCCACGAGAGGCTGAGAAGTCTCTGCTCTACTCTGCTCTGCCTTCCAGGGTGCCCTGCCATGCTCCCCGTATCGTCCATCTCCTCTTGCCATGACAGAATTTTCTCAAAACCCCGTATTACACTGACCAGGATCATCTTCCCACCTCATCCTTGACAGGACTCTTGCTCATCCTCCATCTACATCAAAGCAGGACTTCTTCCCTGGCCTCATGTACACCTTCCACAGCACTTCCTATTCCTCATGGAGAGTTTTCAACCTGGGATTTTCTGCTCCATGAAGGCATAGGTTATATATTCTTGTTTCTCTGTCCTCTGACCTGGAGTGTAATTTTGATTCTACAAGACATGGTTTACTCTCTGGACCAGGAATCTGATGAGTACAGATGCATTTAGATGCAAAAATACAGGAACATATGAGACAGAGCATGAGGACCTGGGTCTGACTTATTTCAAGGTGTTCAGCATAGCATTTAGCTAGTCCTGATTCACTAGCCATTCCCTTGGAGTTGACCAGAGATTATTCACACTCCACACAGGTTCAAGATAATAGATCTGGTATTTTCCGCATGTAATGCTATCCGTATAAGTTTCCTTATATTTTCCTCTGAAACAGGATTGGAACTTATTGGATAAATAATTATCCAACTTCATTTTAAACTTAACTTAAACTCATAAGCTAGATTTGAAAATAAACATCACTAGCGACAGCGTACGGGTGATGACTGACACATACAACAGTCACCTGCACACGTGATAGAAGCTTCCTCTCCTGAAAAGCACGAATTGTATTTCCAAGGTTCAGAAGGACACTGCCAGAGAGATGTATCAGTTTTCCTACACTGGATTCCATCTACCCACCGGGGTCTAGACCCTTCCCTAACAGCAACCAAAGAGTTGAGGGTCCCGCTGTCCCCACAGCCAAGCTGTCTGCAGATCACAGACAAGGTCACGGCTTCCATGGGGCTGCTGCACACACTGCCCCAGGTCCCGTTGTAGAAAACTTCCAGCCACCCAGCACAGTCCTGGTCCTCGCTCACCACCCTGAGGGAAAGGAACTCTGAAAGAGAAAGGGGGAGACAGAGCACCATGAGCACCCCACTCAGTGCTCTGGGCCCTCAGCAGGGAAAGAATGCTGGATGTTGCTTCCTGACAAACTACAGAATCTGAGAAAGCAGGTGTGCTGGGCCGGGGGCAGAATAATGCCCCACAGATGTCTGCATCCTGATCCCTGGAACCTGTTACTATCATTGCTTACATGTGAATATGTTACCTTGCACGGAAAGAGACTGTACAGATGGGATTAAGAAAAAACCTGGCAAGGTGAGATGAACCTGAACATTAGGATTAACCAGGTGAGCCAAGTGTAATTACATGTTGAACCCACTGTCCCTAAAAGTGGTTTTGATGAGAGAGAAGAGGTGATTCTGGAGAATGGTGAGAGATGTATAACACTTATAGTCTGATGACCAAGGAAGGGGGCTCTGAGCCAACAGGTGCAGACAGAATCTGGAAGCTTGGAACTGATTCCTTCCCAGGGCTAGAAGTGATACAGCCCTGCTCACACCTTGATTTTAACCCAGTGAGATGGTGTTGGACTTCTAAACTACAACACTATATGATGTTAAATATAAGTTGCTTTAACCACTAATATGTGGAAATTTGTTATAGCAAGTAGAAACCAGTACAGTGGATCAAAATTCTGTATTATAGGACACTTAAGAGTGAGCCCTGCTTGCAAATGAAAATTGTAGGACATGGCCCTATCAGGAGATGTTGCTGAGTAGGAAGGACCAGACCCTCAGCTGCCACAGGAAGGAAGGAGACACCTAATCCTCATATATGCTAGAGAGTCAGACACTCAGGAGGAAGCATCCTACCCTCTTCTCTTTCAGACTCTGTCCTCAGTATCTCCCTCACACCCACACAATATACCCCCAAAGCCTGGACAAGGTGCACTGTAGACCTGAGCAGATGACCCCGGCGTCCTCCTTGTGCCTGCAGTCATGGCGCCCCGTGGTCTGAGATGGGCACTGCCACAGGAGGGACTCGTTTCCTGTGCACTGCAGCTCCTTCAGCCAGATGGGCCCTGATCCCTCACCGAAGTGAGCAGAGACCGTGGCGTTGAGGGCCTCCCCACAGCCCAGCTGTCTGCACACCACGTGGGCATCACGCAGGTCCCAGCCGTCATCACAGATGGTGCCCCAAGAGCCCTGGTGAAGAATCTCCACTCTGCCGGCACAGGGATGGCCTCCGTCGACCAGGCGGAGCTGTGTGCTGTCTGTGAAGAGAGTCAGGTCAAGTGGCATCTAACCCGGAAGGATCTTTCCTGGTCCTGGAAGGCCCTCACCTGAGCAGTTGGCTGTGCCCTCCTCTGAGGCTGTAGAGACTGCTGGTGGAGACAGGGAGTGGGTGCACAGGGGCTTAACCTGGGTCTGGTTTCCTGCAGAGCAGTGAGGTCAGAGGGTTAGTGGGTTGAAGAGCAGAAAACTGAATTAAACTAGATGATAACCTAGTGGAGAGAGCTGAGATGGACATTCTAACAAGACACTCATGGCATCATTATTTTACTGTTCACTTTCAGTAAGAAGCTGTGCCTCCAAAAGACCAATATTTCTCAGCTAAATACTGAGAATCACTGAGAATGAGTGAGCATTTTGGAGCCAGATGATCAGAGAGAAGCAAAGTGCAGCGTTGAGCCTATTTCCCCTTGAGATCCTTTGCCAATTCAACATTATAGATGTGACTGTGAAAACCTCAGCAGAGATTTGGAAGCAGGAGTAGTAAAGTGGGAGATCGGAGGAGAAAATGAGGAAGACAGCACAGGATGAAACAATAGCCAACATGGAAAGGGGCACAAGAGATATGGTACAAGGTTTAAGTCGCATATTTATGAAGTTTTAGATCATTAAGCACACAAAAGAAAGAAGGAAATGTGGAATCTAAAAATCCACTATCAAGGTGGGACATTTCATACACCCTGGTGCTGTTAAAATACATCCACAAAATTATTGATACTGTGTCCACTGAGGGGTGAGATCTTTGCCTCATTCCCTTGCATCTTAACTGACCTTCATGACTTGCTTTTAGGCAACGTGATGCAGTGGAGACAACACTGCTGATTCCCTGCACCAGGACAGAAAAGTCGTGCAGCCTCCCCAGCCCCACTGTGGACACATGCTTTAGGGGAGCTGCTCTGCTGAGCCTGTCTTGGGGAGAGCCACAGGCAGGGGGTCTGTCATCTTGTCATTGGGCATCCTGGGTTCCCATTCAAGCAGCTCTGGCATGACTTCAGCCCAGATGACTTCAGCTATGTGAAACCACCAGAGAGAACTGCCACTGAGCTTCCCCATTCCTGACCCGGAAATCACAGCAAAATAAAATGGATTTTTTTTCTGTCGCTAAGTTTTTGGGAAAATTGGTAGCACAGCAATAGTAACCCAGACACTTATCCTGAGGCCTAAAAAGAACAAGGAATGCTTTTCTTCAATTAAGCTTCTCCTACAGAGAATTTAAAATGTGTGTCTGCAGGACTTGTGCATGGATGTTGAGAACATCTTTAGTCACAAGCACTAAGACTTGTTCCTTTGGGGTCAAGGCAGTAAGAAGAAAGAAGGCTATGGGCCAGGGGGAACTATGGTGAGGGATTAAGGAATGATGAAAATGAAATTGAAAGAAGAGAAACAAAATAATTGCTTTCAAGATCATATATTGAAAAATGTGTATTCACAAAACAAAAGTGAAAGATCTGTCTTAGTAACTGAGAGAAAAGCTATCAGTAGGTATTTGGAAAATCTGAACTGTATGATTTGTATAATCTTCACCTCAAAAACAGAAGAATACACATTATTCTTAAGAGCATGTAGGCCATTTATCAACACTGGTTTTATGTTATGGTAAATGAGTTCCAGATGTTTTCAAAGGAAAATCTAAGAGAAAGTCATAAAAGTCATATATTTTGACCACAGAGAATTAATCTAGAAACAAAAGAAACCTGGTAAAAAAAAAAATTAAACTGTATTAAAATGTACTTCTCATACAATAAAACACCAACATTAAGAAAACACATTTTGACAAATACTTGTATCTCCATAACCCACTCTTCACTCATGAGCCAGTTTTCCCACACGCCCTGCTCTGAGGGACCCGAACACCCTGAGTGCAGGGAGTGTCCCTCTCTCACCTGAGCAGATCACAGAGGCTGTGTTTCCAGGGCCGCAGTCAGGAGCACCCAGGACAGTCACAGGGCAGTTCCCCAAGGAGGACTCAGCCCCTGAGCAGTGAAATCGGCCCCTCCAGACCGGGATGTCTCCTCCCCTAGAGTGTGCTCCTTCAAGGGTGGACAGGGCAACTCCACAGCCAAGCTGATGACACACAACATGGGCATTGGCCAGACTCCAGTGGGAGGTGCAGAGCACACTCCAGTGCCCTGAAATACTCATCTCCACCTGTCCCTCACACTGAGAGCTGCCGTTGCTCATGAGCCGCACTTCTGTGTATTCTGGGAGGAGAAGATAGGATTTCAGTCAGTCCTCACATGTTTCTTTCCCCAACATAGTAGATAGGGAGGTTGAATCCTGCTAGAGTCTCACCTGAGCAGACAAGGTGAACAGCCCCAAGGTGGTGGCAGGTGCCTCCAGGACAGGGCACCCTGGGGCACAGCCGGAGCATGGGCTCCTTCCCCTCACACCGGAACTCCTCAGCAAAGACCCGTCCATCTGACTCTCTGAAGGGCATGCCCCCCAGCACAGGTGCAGCCTTGCTGCACCCCAGCTCTACACAGATGACCTGGGCGGTGGGGGATGTGAAGTTCCCATCAGACACTGGAATCCAATCTCCTCTGGAATGCACTTCCACTCGCCCTGAGCAGTGTCCATCCCCTCCAGCCAGACGCACAGATAATCCTAGAGAAAAGTGAGTGAGTGCTCACGGCCTGTCAGTGGCATTGGAAACAGCACATATAGGCAATGGTGTGAATATCTTTCTCTCTAAGGACAGAGCATGGAGAGAGAATCTGACAGAGCCAGAACTGCATTTTCATGAGCAAGTTTCTGAAGAGCAGAGGATTTGCAAGGTCAGTTTGATAAATAAATCCCAAGAACATGCACACTTTGAAGTGTTAGAAATGTGAATCCTTATCTAGGGGTCAGGGAGCTACAGGACCTGAGGACATGCTCTGTGGTGGGAGATTAGACTTGGCCCCAAGATGGACTAGCCCAGAGTCAAGAGAGCCCTTGCATTAGAGAGACTAGAGGCCTGTCATCCAGAACTGACAGCCACCCTGAGATTTCTGGGGTTAGAATTCTGGTCACTGTTGTTGCAGGAGCTGGTCCTCAAGAGACTGAGGATTAGGAAATCTACGAGTCCTGGCCCATGACAGCTGACAATCACACACAGACTGATACTCCAGGGAGGAAACAGACATCAATATTCACATACATGGTTTCACATTTTATTTTCTTGATAATTTTTGATGGCAAGAAATTCCAAGAATTTCTTAGGTAACATGATGTGGAAGAGGCTGTGCACAGATGAATGTTAAAGAATTTAACATTAAAGAATTTAAGGACAAGCGGGTTCACTTACATGAATGTGACTGGTGAGATCATAGCGTGTCTTTTATTTCTGACCCATTTTCATCCTCCATAGACACGCAGGGTAGGACCCCCAATGTGGGCTAGTTGGGAGGTTGGCCACATGCTTCTCATTCTAATTAAAGCACTTTTCTCATAACAGGTTGTTAGTTTCAATATTAAGCTCATGAAATGACAAACTCAGAGTAAGAAAGAAATATTCTTATGTACTATGTTACTTAATCTGACATCTATTAGATACTCAAATATATGTTGAATAAGTTCTCAAACAAATCAAGATAGAGCCTTCTGAAGAAAATTACTGTTAATTCATATTCATTTTCTAATTGATTTTAAAACTCACGTGGAAGAAACTGCAGGAAACTTATGAAATCAAAGGTAGATGTGAAGGGATTAGATATCGAAACATAACAATAGACAAGGGTGGGAAGGAATGAATATAAAATATCTAATCATCTCAAAAATGCACACAGCAATTTAGTATTTGTAAAGAGAATATTTTAAATCATTGAAGAAGCTACATTATTCAGCAAATAATGTTGAAAACTTAGAGATAGATTTTAAATATAATAAAATCATACTTACACTTGATATTAATCTTAAAACAAATTTATAACAATTAAACATCTATAAGAAGCAAAGCAGAAAAATTGGGGCAAAAAATAAATTGTATACATTTTTTTAAAAAGATTTATTTATTTATTTTTACAAGCACTGGGTACAGACAGAAGCACTGGAGGGTGAGAGAATTCACCAGAGACAGAGTGGAGAGCAGAACAGGCAGACTGACGAAATACACTGCTTAGGGGAGCAGCAGGCGGTAGGAGAGATCTGCGCACCATGTGGGACCCTCGCCCAGTGACCGGGGATCGAACCGGCGCTGCAGAGGCTGTGGGCAGCTTCGCAACCCAGCGCTCAACCGCTGCGCCACCGGGGAAGCCCTAAATTGTATACATTTTGAAAAAAAAATTGACTGTAAGGAAAACTAATTCTAGGGTTTTCTTATTAACATGATCTTTTCCAGCATGCCTTCCAATGCTGACCTACTGATTTAAAGTCATTCATCTCTGTGATGTGACAGAAATCCTTTCACTCATCAATGACTCGATAAGGACATTTTATTTATGCATGTTTTGGGTTTTTTAAATTTACAAAATTTAACTATCCATTTTCTTACACCATTCTTCATTTTTGGAAGTTATCTGATTTCTCCGCTCAGGTGCAAACTTTGCAGTTCCACCACCGATTCACCCGTGCACCATCACATAGTCTCTTGTGCTCTTCCCTCCCCTTTTTTCACCCCTCTCTCGTCCCCTCATTCTGTGGCCTCAGATCTATGGTCAGCTTGCAAGTTGCCTCATTTCTGTGACCCTTTTTATGGTTTCTCTATATTCCACATGTAAGTGAAGCCATCAGATATTTATCTTTTTCCTTCTGAATTATTTCCCTAGCACAATCCCTTCCAGCTCCATCAATGCTACAGGAAATGGCATGAGTTTGAAAGGAACATTTTAATTCGTGGGGAAGACTCATATTTTAGTGAGAAGTAGTGTTTTAATATTCCAATAATTCCATCGATGTTCATCCAAGGTAAATAGAATTTAGGTCACTAAATGAAAACACCTAATACTTTGCTGTCTTTGTGTATTTATTGGAGTGTACATACCATTTCTACACAACTGAGGTCCAGGGAAGAGCCTGGCTGATGTGGAGCTCATTCCTAGTTGACTAGTTGACAGGTCCCTCTGAGAGAGTGGGTGAAATGTCAGGGTGAAGACTGGACTCTTACTGATAGCTCCTGTCCAGCTCCTTGTCTGTTTATTGGATATCATTGCTAATGATCTGATCTTTAAAAAAGGTCAGGATAAAGTTTTAAAAATCTGCATAAGTAGTTGAAATGGCAGGGGGTGGGGGAGGGAATTTTACCAACGGACACTGGACACTGAAGTTGGAATTAATACATATAACCTAACCTCACACAATCCCAAAGAACCAACATAAGGAAAACTGAAGGTAACAAAGCCCCCTTATATTTGCAATGTGCACTGTAGAGAATTGGGCTCACATCTGGGTCATAAATATGAAGAGATGCAGACACACTGGTACCTCAATCAGAAGGATCAGAGGCACCCAGACCCACACCAAAAAATGTATGGCACTTTTATGATAAATGTTAATGAGACATTAACCAAACAAAGAGACACCCCACTGATTGGGAAAAAAATCTTTGTGCTCCATACAGCTGATAAGTGACTGATCACAAAGATATACAAAGAACACACATGACTCAACAAAAACCAAGTAAACAATCCAGTCAAGAGATGGGCAGGAGAACCTAAAAGACAATTCTCCAAAGAGGAAACGCAAATGGCCAACTGGCATTTGAAAAAATGTTCCACATCCCTTATAATCATGGAAATGCTAATCAAAACCACAATGAGATACCACCAAACACCAGTGAGAATGGCACATATCAAAAAAAGTAGAAAAAACAAATGTTGGTGAGGATGTGCTGAAAAGGAACTCTCCTACATTGCTGGTGGAAGCACAAACTGGTCCAACTACTATGGAAAGCTGTCTGGAGGTTCCTCAGTCTACTAAAAATGGAGCTACCATATGACCCAGCAATTCCACTCCTAGGGATCTACCCAAAGGACACAAAAACATTGATTCAAAAGAATACCTGCACTCCTATGTTTATTGCAGCACTTTTTACAATAGGTAAAACCTGGAAACAACACAAATGCCCAAAAATGGATGGCCGGATGAAGAAGATATATACGCAATGGACTAATGCTATTTGTAGCAACATGGATGGAGTTAGAAGGAATATAAGGGAGTCAGAGGAATATAAGGGAACAAACTAAGACATGGGGGAAAAATTCACACCAATACAAAACACAATACAACAAAACAAAAACAAACAGACAGTTACAAACCAGAGACATCCTGCACAGGAGTGGGGGGAGAGAGATCAAAGGGAGGGAGGAGCACAGGGGATTTTGGTGATGGTGCACAGATGAACTGGTAGGGGAAACTCTATGGGGACTACACCTGGAAGGGTAGAGAGGGGAAAGCAAACATTGTTTAAAAATGAATAATGATGTAAAATATATATATAAATAAATAAATTTTTAAGAATATCAATGTGTTTAAAGATATGTAAATAATACTGGAGATGCTCACGCACTTTGTCACTATTTTTGGCCGAGAAGCACAACCCAGGGAGGTTCTGTCAGAGGAGTGACTTGTTCAGGATTACTGAGTTGGCATTCTCTGGCCTCCAGATGTAGCTGCCTTGGGAACTGTTTCATGCTCCTGACAGCAGCTTCACATCCCAGGCTCCTGCATAACAACTCATCTTCCTTCAGGCCCAGTGTTAATAAATCTCTGGCCCTCTCTCCTTGGTACTACACCCCTACTCTTCCTTTACTGGGGTGACCCCACTTTCCCATGTAGCCCATGTGCAAGAAAGACATCACCTGAGTCATAGCTGGGATTTCCGGAACAAACCTGAGGAATCTGATCTCCATATCCAAACCTGAGTCTGGAGAGCCCCAGTTTTCCACACCTCAGCTTCAGCTTTGGGCTGTTTTGGTCAGAGGACATTCTCCTCTCGCTATTATGGCCTTAGGATTAGGTTTTCTAGAGAAGCGAGGGAGCAAGAATGACCAGATTGGTTTTCACGACATTTCTTTCCTTATTTCTTCCCCTCTGACCAAGATGCCTCCTCTGTCCTCCCTGCAGCTGTGACTCATCTGCTTCGAAACCAGCTTTCAGGGCCTCTGATCAGCAGCCTCATCTGCCTCTGATCTTTCCGGGTCCTCATCCATCCCCCAGGCTCAAACTCTCCTGTTGGAAATGAGCACTGGGTACCTGAGATGTGGGAAATGTCTCCCCTGGGTATGGCATTTGGCCACCTGGGAGCCACGAAGATGAGGGATCTTCTTTGAAGATAAAACTCATCCTCCACCTTGGGACAATAGGGCTGCCCTGCACCTTGAAAGCTAGAGGTGGTCATGGTGACCTTCCCCTCAAGGACAGCAAAGGGCAAGGAGAGTGGGTCATGGGGAGTCCAGAAATGGGCCAAGATTAAGCCTCTGATTGAGAAATGATGAAAGAGAGACAAGGGAATTTTCAGAGGAGGCATCTCCAAACTCAGCACAGGTTTGCTACCTGGATAGAGAGAGGTCATATTGAGATGCCCCTTCATATTGTTTGATTCAAAATACAATTGTCATTTCAGAGTTTGACAATTTCTAGAAACTTGTCTCAGTGCTGGGAATGTGAATTATAATAAATCAATGTTCTTATCTCTTTAGGACTTTACTTCAAGTAGAGGAAAAATAACCAGTAGACAGGAAAGTTTTTGAAAAGATTAGGAGACACCTGGACAGCACAGTGCAAGGGGAGCTGCAGCTTCAGATGTCAATTTATTTACATGAATCAAACCCACTTTAGGCAAAATGAAAGTTGTGGTCAGATACGTCTTTGTCTGGCCTCTTGTTGTAAAGACACCCATGTCCTCACACACAGGTGGCACCTCCACACACCGCTGCATCTTCAGTACTGCTCAGGGAACCCCTTATGTGTCCTCTCAGCTCCCCAGCATTTCCCTCCTTCCCAGCTACAACAAATGCTTCCTCTTTTGAAAATCATATTTATCCCCTCATCCCATTCTTCTCAAATTCCCAAGTACATTTTTCAGCCATCAAATAAAATTAATCTATATAATCTCATTCCATAAAGCACACAAATTAGCATATTATTTCCTCCACTATTGACTTGTCATTGCATGGCTACTTAACTTCCAAAGATTGAGTTTATACAAGTGTTTGGAAAGAAAATAGAGTGTCTTTTCCAGTAACAATGAATGAAAATCTATGACCCAAAGTATTTCATCCACAGCTTTTTGGTTTTACTGGCAAAAGAACGATGAATATTTATGCTTAAGTTTAGAAAGGAAACCTGAATTTTGGCACAAATCCATACAATTCTCTGATTTGTTCAGTGATACCCCTGTGTCTCTGCTCTTACTAATCCAGTACAAGACCGTACTCACTATTAATACAGAAGCTATTAACCTATTAATAATACTATTAAGGGAAAGTGCATCCTCATTCTGTTCCTCCCACTAATTGTCTCACTGAACAAGAGGAGTTAGTGTGGGGATTTACATAAGTTTACTCTTACAAAAAGTAAATTATAAAAGAATCATGAAGATTGGCTTCAATCAAGATGATAATAGATTAAGTTGTTTTGTCAGGTAAGACCAAAGCAGAAGGACAGATTAGCATTTCTTTAGGAGTAAAGGACACACCTCATTCACAGAAGCTTTGTGCCCTTGGGACTATGGAGAGAGGGGATGTGTCTCAGACCTCTCTGACCCATCTTTCTCTGCTGTCCCAACCAACACCAGCCTCCATTCCCTCAGCCCCTGAAAATGCACTGACCATACCTGAGCAGATGACTCCTGCATCCTTGCGATCAGAGCAGACATACTGCCACCAGCCCTCAGATGGGCACTCCAACACGTGGGACTCCTTTCCTGTGCATCGAGGCCTTCGCAGCCAGATGGACCATGATCCCTCTCCGAAGTGACCAGAGACTGTGGCACTGAGGGCCTCTCCACAGCCCATCTGTCTGCACACCACGTGGGCATCACGCAGGTCCCAGTCGTGATCACAGACAGAGGCCCAGGAGCCCTGGTAAAGAATCTCTACTCTGCCGGCGCAGCGATGGCCTCCGTCCACCAGGCGGAGCTCTGTGCTGTCTGAGGAGGAAAATCAGGTCAAGGGCGCATGCAACCAGGGAGAAGAAGGCTTTCCTGATCTTGGGGCGAGGGGGGCCCTCACCTGACCAGCTGGCGAAAATATCCTCTGAGTCTGCAGGGCCCTCTGGTAGAGACTCAGTGTTTGTGCTGGGACAGACCTGGTTTCCTACAGCAGCCAGCTGTACAATAGATTTGAAAATAGGAAAAAGCAGGAGAAGTGGAGCTGAAAACAACTAGTGAGCAGTCTCAGAGAGCAGGTGTTACCAGGTCCTATCAGAGTTAACCCTGATGTAGAGTTCTGGGGCATCTGAGGAAGATATCTAGAGATGTCAGACTCTCTGCCTTGAGCAATTAAATGAGTGCAGAGTGGCTATAGAGGGCTAATAGCTGGTGGGCTCCTTATAAATCATACCCATTTCTGTGTTACTGAATTAAAGGGAATTGTTGTGAGCTTATCAGAATCCTCTGGAGGCAGCCAGGAGTCCCGTTCCAGTAAGAGCTGTTCTTGCTATAGTCACTCACAGCTGAAAAATGATGGACCTTGAGACAGGCCATGATTTACCCAGAATATTTCATTTATGATTCTAGGCTCCAGAATGAACTTCTCCCTTTTTTTAAAGATTTGTTTATTTATGCATACAAGAACTGGGGTACAAGCCAGAGTTGTGGGGGGTGAGAGGATGCACCAGAGACAGAGTAGGGAGCAGAACAGGCAGACTGACTGAAATACACTGCTGAGAGGAGCAGCGGGTGAGACAGGAGAGGTCTGCTGCACCATGTGGGTAGCTCCCTGGCTGGAGATGGAACTTGTGCTGCAAGTGGCTGCAGACAGCTTCATAGATTGCATCTTAAATGCTTGTACCACCAGGGAGCCCCCCAGAATGAACTTCTCTTTGAGTAGATGGGGCCACCTCACATTAGAGATGGTGTCAGATGGTGTCAGATGGTGCCCAGAGACACTGGGCATCATACATCTGCTTAATCCCCGAAACAATATAATCTCTACTTGAACTTCATGTCAGGAATTGCTATTATTCAAAATTTGGAGTTATTCAGTGTTTAGGAGGAAATATAATGTATCTCTAACCCCACCACGGATAGAATCAGGTTATATTACTGAGCTGAAAACACTCAGTCAGATCTGATTTTTCTATCAAATACAGTTACTATACCATTATTTCCTCCATTTTATATACGAAAAAAAGAGAGACAGAGAACATTGAGAAGGTAAATAATGTGTCAGTATTGAAATTTAAGTAAGATGAAATAGAGAATAAAACCTAGAGTCTCCACTAAAATGAAAAATGGGGCAGTTGTAGGTTTTATTCTCCATTCCATGACCAACTTAAAGTAAGCGCTGGTGCTGGAGTGTGAAATAGGAGACCTGAGGGACACTTCCATAGAGCATGTCTTCTAGCAAATATTTGCCCAGTGCACGTGCTGTGCAGGGCAGGAGGCCAAAGAGCTATGTCAAAACTCTTGCAAGGCAGAATGGTTATTCCTTTATTCTTTTGGGTGCTGAGCTACCAAAATATCCAGGCTCTCAGCTGAATTCTGAGTTCCCAGAATGCCCTTGCCACAGGGACAAGGAACCAGGAAGGGGTGGAAAGGGAGGAGCATCTAGAGCAGGCAGGCCCAAGTCCCACACCTGAGAGACTGGCTGAATAGGATGTGCCAGATCATTGCTACCTCAAGGCTCAACCCTGATACATTGGACTCTCCTGGTCAGGGGCCAAGGGATGAGCAGATGTCATACAGGGTCTGGGGGGCTACAGGGAGAAACCCACCTAAGAATATTCCAAGCTCAAGGCTCTTCCTCAATAGCAGATCCTTAGGATGTCACAGACATGATCAAGTTCCACTGGGACGGGAAACACTGGTCAAGAGGGGCCCATCCTGGTCTCACAGGCCACATCTTTCTGCCTCCAGTGCTTACCTCTGTGCCCCTAGGGACACCCACATTTTCATCGGTTTTTATGTTGCCCCTGGAGTAAAGGACCATGGAGCCAACATGTCGAAAGTGAAACACCACAGGTAGGGAGACAGAGTCCTGCCAGCACCCAGTGTTGGGGGAGATGATAGTAAAGCAGAAAAACATTTGAGCTGTGGGTTTGTGGGGAAGAAAAAAGCAAAGTACAAGGAGGTTTGGATTGCAGGTGCAGAGGTAGCTGGGGGGGGTAATTAAAGTTTCTATTGGGAGGTTTTTCTTTAAAAGTATCCATATCTGCCCTCATCACAGACATGTACACACACATCACTACCACCACCACTTCACCACAAATCCTGCCTTCTGCCTTAGAGTGTGATTCTTTGGACTCTTTCTAGAAAGTTCACGTCCACTGGTAGACATGCTCCTGTGCACACATACACCCTTCACATGCTCTTCAAACTCCCCTTATACGCACCTCTCTCTCTCCCCCTCTATCCCTCTCCTCTTACGTCTCCCCTCTCTCCTATCTGCTCTCTCCTCTCTCGTCTCTTTCTCTCTCTGTCTCCTCCTTAGGCTAACAGAGCAGAAACCCAAAATCCTACCCACCCACAGTACTGGGAACAGGAAGGAATCTCAGAGATGCAGCCTCAGGATGTCACTCAGTCATAATCCACTAGAGGAAAACTGGGAAGTCATCAAACATTTTCATTGTGTTCATTTGATATTGAAGAGGACTGAACACAGATTCTGGTCAACCTGACAACAAGCTTCGAATCTGGGCAACATCTCACAGCCTAAATAGAAAAGCAGAGCACCCGCAGGAGATAAATGAATTTTCACTACACTAAAGATGACATTTGGTCAAAACCAAGGGGTCAACAGAGAGGAGTTGCCTTTGCAATCCCAGGGCTCACCACTCCAGAGCCTGAGAATGATCCAGCATCTCTGCTGATCTTAGGGAGGGAGGCTCTGCTTACCTTGGGCACTCGCTAGGACAGTGGAGAGGAGAACAGCAAGTCCTGGGAGAAATACGTGTCCATTCATGGTAGTTCTGATCCCCATGCTATCAGGTAACAGAATCAGTTTCCCCAAATATACAAAGAACACCTCAGTCCTTACTGGGGGCTCCCACTCCCAGGAGGGGTTTATATAGTCCCACCCCCTGACTTTGCCATCTTCCGGGAGCCAATAGAAACCCTGTTGAACATCGTACCCGCATCAAACACTCCATAAATGGAAACTTTCTGAGGCTCAAACACCAATTAGATGCTCGACTTGAAATGTTTCCTTATATGAGAGGCGATGTTTTCTGACACCAGGTGTCATCCGTCCCCAAAGTGGACACAGAAAAGCTAAATTTTTTTTTTTAATAGAGGCATGCTTTTTTTATTTATTTAGTTTGTTTGTTTGTTTGTTTTGTTTATACATGCACTGGGTACAGTCAGAAGCGCGGGAGGGTGAGAGAATTCACCAGAGCCAGAGCGGGGAGCAGAGCAGGCAGAAGGACCGAAGTACACTGCTGAGGGGAGCAGCGGGCGGCAGGAGAGGTCTGCACGCCACGTGGGACCCTCCTCTGGTGGCCGGGGAGCAGCTGGGGATCGAACCGGCGCTGCAGCCGCGGGCAGCTTCGCAACCCAGCGCTCAACCGCTGCGCCACCTGGGAGGCCCCAGAAAAGCTAAATTAACGAAAGGTGCCTGACTGTCTCTCCCCCACCCAGTGTTTCCAAACAGAAGAATTTCATTGTTTGACTTGCCAGCTTCCCTCCCTCTAGTTCTACCTCCCTCTACCCGCCAACTCTCTCTCTTGATGCAACTGAAGTAAATAGGTGAGGATGATTGGGAATGGGAAGAAATACAGCTACTCAAAAGGGTTTATAATGGTGAAGTTCGATTGTCATGGGCTTTAGTAAATGTAGTCAGAGCAGGGAATACAAAAGACTTGTTAATGGAAAAGGGTGGAAAATATCAGGATTTATGAACACCAGGATGTGCAATTTCATGGAGAAAGGGGAGATTGGGGATGCTTGAGAATAACAAGGGAAGGGAAAGGGCGTTGTAATGAGTAGATTTTTGACACTGATAGTCCATAAACCTGTTGGCAAAATTAGAAGAGCTGCAACCATTTCCCTCCTGCCTGACCCACCCCATTCACTGTGACTCTCTCTTCTGGGTTTTAGCAAAGGAGTCGTGGCATCTTCTGGAATATTTAGCTAAGTGTTTCTGGTGTATCTTACTGACTCAGGGTCAGATTTCAGTTTTTATCCTGTTCCAGAAAGTATGACATTCTCTACACTAAAGGAGGCAAGAGTGTTGGATGAGGGCCACGATACATGGCTATATCAATGGGGATTTCACATAGGGGTGGGATGTGATTGGAGACTGAATTTTCCAAAGTCAGTGGGGTCAATGTATCTGGATTCTTAACAACATTTGTCCTTGACACTCAGGGTGCTAATTATGAAGATTGTCCTTTCATCACAGGCCCAAGTAAAACTTCTGCAGTAATGAAGAAGACAGAATTCTCATTTATTGGGGAAACTATTACAGAGGAGTCACTGAAGATTTATTTGATCCAAAAGTGGTACTATGCGGTGCTAAGCTCAACATCATCATACCCAGGGTCTTCCTGTCTCAGGAACAGTGGGAGTCTACTCTCTCCCATGCCAGAGATGACAGCTCCTCCAGGAGACTGCAGAGAGAGACCTGCAAGGTGAAGGAAAATCTCCTTTCAGTGGTGACAATAAACAAAATCTTTGGTAGAAGTAGACAAGTGCACAAAGACTACAGAGTATCTGTGGGACCCAGCAGCTCTCTGAAAGGCTAAAGCTGCTTCTTCCACTCAGTTACTCTGTGCAAAGTTATGTTTTGCTCTTGACAACTGCAAGGCATTGGGGCAATAATGGTGAGGAGTGGAGATTAGAGTGAAAACTCTCACACCCATGTGGTCTGATTTCATAGGAATGGGGGCAGAAGGTGACTCCCCTAGATTCCTCATATAGGTGACTGAGGAATACCCATCCCTACCAGCCCTAGCCAGACCCAGATATATTCAGGAGATCAATCTGGGTTC